CTATCAATCATAATAATTTCCTTTTATCTTTGTTATTTGCAGAGTCAATAATGCTTGTTTTAAATTCATTACACTTTCATAAATCTAGTTTATTATTTTCCTATATTATCTACTCAGATTATAGCCCATTCACTGCTATGCAATTTCTGCCGTCAGTTTATCAAATTTGGACACAAATAAATCAATTTAAATAAACTCGATAAATATTGCCAAAAATAATCTAAAATATGTTCAATGAAAATATAATATAATTCAATTAGTTTTCACTGGATTTTAATTTATAGGCTGCCTAGTATAGAAACTGACACTGACTGGCCCAAAAAGAAACATTGGGAGGTCAGACAATTGAAATAGATTATGCGTAAACGGCGACCGACAAAAGGGGCGTGTCGGCCAACGCCCACACACAATGGGGGAAGATCGAAAATGGTAAAATCAGGAGGTGGGGATTCTGTGCCCAGAGAGACAATGAGGAAACACACAACAAAGGGCTGCGTTCGAGCCCCATTAGAGGGCCATTTAAAACACATTTAGCCACCCCGCGCCCGCCGCGAATCGGTTAAACCAAATCAGCTTACACAACAAACAAACAAAAGCCAAGTCAGTCAGCCAGCCGACTGTCGCCGATTGTTGATTGTGGTTCACTGTCAATGCAATTGGCGGGGAATAGTTGGAATACTTTTATACCTTTTGAAACCGGGAAGAGACTACACCTGTGCACTGTTGAAAATTTCGCTTTCATTGTGTATTTTTATTGTTGGTTAAAATAAAAGTTGGAATCTCTGCAAGCAACCTGAAGAGATTTTATGAAATCTTTTTATGTCCTGCATATTTTTTATTTAACAGGATTTAAGAGAAGTATTTTATCTTATAGGTAGGTAGCTTTACAACAATCATATTTTTCTGTTTTTTTTTTTTGCTAGTGTAAGGGGGAGATGGGCTGTGATAGAGACGACTGACACATTGCAGGTAATCAGCCAAGCTTGGGCCTAATGAAGGTCAAACCCGTTGACAGATATCCACGTCTCCATCTTCAGACCAATCATTGGCAACTTGGTAGCTGGCTTTTTTGATCGAAAACAGTTCCAGCTGAGGGCACACGTCACGCAACATTCAAATGTTCGACTGAGAGTGCGAGTGCGAGGAAGTCGGCATCCACTAAAATGTTGTTTTGAAATTAACCCAATTTCCGTGCAAATGACAAAATGAAAATGAAAACGGAAAAGAAACAAAAATGCGCAGAAATTCCTTGGCAAAAGTCAGCGTAATAATAAACAGCAATCAGCGAATCTTTTGGATTGCCAAAGCAAACAGCAAAAGACAATTCAAGTTTGTCATTGTTTTGTGTTTGCTTTGGATTTGTCATGTGAGAAAGTCGTGCCAAATGCAGATCTTTAGGCATTACCATAATGACAATTATCCATATAGCTTGTGATGGAGCGAAATCCCGAGTTGGATTCCAGATGCAACAGCCTGCAAATTGCTGAGCAAATCTATGCAATTTAAAGACCTTCTCCCCCACAAACTTCCACCCACTCATTACGGCTTCATCCCATTGTAATGGCATAATATTTTCAAGCGCATTTTTCTTTACATTTTCCTTTTCTTTGCACTTTCTGTCTGTTTGCCTTGAAAGCTATACAAAGGGGAAGCTGAACTTAAAGCCGAAAGTGTGCCAAGCATGGCTAAAAAGGAAAATAATGCAAAATCTTAAGCCCTTAATCGAATTAGTCAGAGTTTTGGTCTGCGGATGAATAACATTATTTGGCAATTAGTTGGGGTTTTGTAATTTGTGCATGGTTTTTGGGCAGCCTTTTTCGCTCCTTGGATTTGAAGTTTGTTTGAAAAATGTGAAAAGCTTTGAACTCCCTGAATGAATTTAAATAATCATGTAAAATAGCTTGAATTTAAATTCCATTATAAAATTTACATCTATAAAAGTTAATTATAGTATTTTAGTGTTTCCTTGTTCTAGTTATTTTCCTGTGCGCCTTCCTGCCTCGTCATATGAAACCCTCTCATTTCGCACTTCCTGTTGCAACACTTTAATTGATGCAGCCTCATTGTGGCCAAATGGGCTTAGTTATTTAGTCGGATACGTTATTGTGATCGACATGGCAGGCCAAATAAACCGAGTCAGATCGTTTCGAGATTGTGGGGATCTCGTCAGCGGAGCGTGAACTGCTATTTGACCCTTTTCCCCCATTTGCCACACCCACACATGCACCGCTCCGCCCCCTTCAACATGCGGCTGCTGCATCAGCATCGGTTTTAGCCGCACAGCAACAACAATTTAAATAACAACGACATCGAGTTGGTAATGGAGACGACGAGCCAAGTTTCATGGCGAAGCCTGGGAATTGGCCATCCCCTCTCTCCCTCTCTCTTTCGGAATTACTATCGCCATCTCTCTCGAGTGTGGAAACCCTTTTAGCACACTTGTTGCCAGCCCCCTCCTGTCCCCAAAAATCCCCTCCGATTCCGGATTACTGGAGCATGCAATTGTTTGCTGCTTTTGCCGCTGCTGCCTATTTGAAATGCAGATTTCTTCTGCTCGTTGCGGCGGCTTTATTTCATTACATATAAATAGCACATTGATGAGCTCCTCGGGGTCAAAGGGTGGGAAGTGTGACCCCATCCTACAATACAGTGCCTTTCGAAATAATATATAAATAATATCCTAAAAGAATAAGCAAGTTTTAATTTAATATTTGTCTTGGAATCCAAGAATAATGATATACAAAAATCACATAACATACAACACTTAAAAATATTGGGTTAAGTGCATATAGTATTCTACTTTTATGACCTCTATTGTAATAATGCTCAGAGTAAATGTGTTTCCCAGCTCTACATCCTTAACGTACAAATTTAAATAAGTAGTTGTGAATGTAAATGTGCAAGATTCTTTAACTGGAGACATGCAATTGCATTTGCAATTGACATTTTGTTTGTTGCCAAAGAAGAAAGCAGAAAAGTTTTAGATGCCAAAGTCTCGGCTCTGGAATGGGGTTATCTAGCCTTCCTCTCACTATATACACTATATGTATATGTGCTTTTTTTCCCAGCCCTCAGGTTCTTGACTATTTCTTTTACACCTTCTTGTTGTTTGCTTGCGAATTGTAACGCGCATTTTAATTAGATTGCTTGGGTTCTGAACTCCACCTCATGCAAATTAGTTCGAGCCGAGAATGTGGGAGATTACTTCACAAGAATCCAATTACGTCTGCGAAATTCTGGAGCCTAAGTTGAGGACTGATTACTTGAGAAGTGGATTTTTGTATGCATTATCATCCTACGTAATTGCTTTTCCGTTTAGATTGCCATGGTAATTAACCTGTTTTGCTCGTACACAGATATTTTTAATTAAAAACTAATGAAAATTCATTAAAAATAATTGATAAGGAATTCCGGCATTGAAAAGGAGGAAGAAGAAGTGGCCGATTTCTGGGAATATTCCCATATGCATATTAGGTGGCAGATATCTGAATGGATAAATGGGAATATGGGAATATGTTGTATTTTTCATGGGCAGAGTTTTTGGATTAGTAAGGCGGCTAAATTGGTTTTTGGGTAAAGAGGAAATATTTTACTGCTTCAATTATGGTTCCTCTTTTAACATTTGCATTCCGGGAAAATGGTTTTTAATGAATAGGATACAAAAGAAATGGGCTACAATGATATGGGCCATGTTCGTCCGGCCTTAATTATAGGTATTATATTTTGAATAAATAGCGTGCACATTTTTAAAGCGCACTCTTAAAGCTGTTTATAAACAATTATTCATTTCCTATTTCGGCTTTTGGGGCAACAAAACCTTTTCATCTCCCCGCCAAATCTTGTTTAGTCCGTTTGCCTACAATCAATAAATCAAATTCAAAAAACGAACCGGCAACGAAAAAAAAGCTGCAAATGCATTAATTAACAAGCGTAAAATTGCACCAAATTGAGTTTTGAGTTGACCACATTTTTGGTTTTCGCTGCAGCGATGGAAGGGGAGGGGAGGCGGCAAGACCGGGTGTGGGCGTGGTAGTCTGGAAAACCGCAAATGGTAATTTACGTGGTGGCAACAACAACGAAAACAAACATTTGCAATCCAATTTGATGAAAATTCATAATTTTTTTTCAACTATGCCTTTTCGGTAATTTGTCTTTTGGGCACTGGGCGTGAGCGTGGGCGTGGAAAGTGGGCTAAAAGCGATTACATCATTAGTTGGTCCGAATCGTGGAGGTCAGACATCAAGTGATTTATGTAGCAACTTCAAGTGTAATTGTCTTTTTCGGTTTTTTCCTATTTCCTTTGTTACCTTATTTAATCAATGGGAAATTAAGTGTACAAATTAATTTCGAAAGGGTTTTTTTTATTTAGTACTTAATAAATATTTTAAAAAATGTATGAGAAGAGTATTTTTTATTCTGTATACCATAATTTATAGTTCTTCCCTCTTTTTTTTTGTAATATACTTCTTTATTTTTTCTCCATTTATTTCTTCGAGTTGTGGGTCAAAGTCTTTGAAAAAATGATGTTATAAAAGAAAAAGAAAACCGTGAACATAAAAAATAGGCGAAAATAAAACCAAAGTTATATGAAAACATGGTTGGCCTGAGTCAAACGGGTTGTGCGCTTGACCAGCTACCTCGCATCCAAAGCCTTAATAAATGTGGAAAATGTTAAGTATACCAGAAATTTAGTGGCAGGCAGTGTGTACAAAATAAACACAAAGGAGGCAGGTATTGTATAAATAATTTTCTCTAATTAATTGTACAACTTTGGCTGGTGGCGAGTGTTAAAGCTGCTCAAATGAGCCTTTCCGCTTTTGGTGGTTTTCGTGCGTGATTTCGCATTAAATGCGAACCAGCCACTGGGTGGTTGTCCAACACTTTGACAACATTTTTCAAATCGCAATTTTCGTTTTTGCTCAGCTAATTTAACGCGCATTTTTCTGGCATTTTTCTTTAAACTTATCCATATACGTATTTATTTGTGACAACATTTGCAGGATGCCAATATATTGGCCGCACCCAGCCACCACATCTACGACTTGCCACAGCAGTTGCACCACCACCACCACCAGCATCAACAACAACAACAACAACAGCAGCAACAGCACCACCATCAGCAGCAGCAGCAACAGCAACATCAACTAAATGTCGAGGCTGTCATATTGCAGAATCAGGTGGATACCTTGCATTGGCAATTGAAACAGGTGAGTAAATGAGCCGGCGAAAGGCAGGCCAAGATCCAATCCAAGAAATCCGCAACCAAACAAAAGACTCAAGACACAAACGTGACTTGTGATTTGTGTTCTCGAACGGAGGAAACTATGTTAAGTGCCAAGTCAGCCCAACAATCCAACAATCCAGCAATCCAACAACCCCACACCATAACCCCATCTCAATCTCGATCTGCTTTGGCTACCGACTTATGTTGCCCTCCTTGGATCAACCTGTTTTCCTGTCTCCGGCGTTCTTTATTTAAATAGTTCTCACGCTTAATTTACTCAAATCGGAATGGAAATGGAAATGTAAGAGATGTGGGGAATGATTCCGTAACCAGACGTAGTCGCTCGTTAGACTAGGTTCTTTTACACTGAAATTAAAGTTATATTTGAAAGGGATCAAAGATTGCGTTCTTTTAAATTCTTTGTTAATTTGTATTGTATTATATTCACCCATAATGCTGGTACAAAAACATATAAAAAGATTACCTCTTAACAAGGATATAAATCCAAATTAAATATAATTTATGTAGTGTATATTTTGTATAGTTCTACTTTGTACAATTTGAAGATTTACAATGTAACAATGTAAGGTTATAAATTAATTTTTAAAGGTCTTACATAGAATGTTTTTTAATTATACGTTTTTCCTGTTATACAATTTGTTTTCTGTGTAGCAATCGAGGCATTTCCTTTCCGAAAGTTCCTCCCCAGTTAGGGCAAACTGCCTTGCCCCATCGCAATTAGGCGGCAGAATTCTTCTCTGACGCTTAATTATAGACTCGCAGTGTGGTCGGTCGGGCTCTTCTATATGCTGCTTTGTTCTGGCCTTTGGTCATCGTGTCTTTCATTGTCTTTCGACCATTTCCTTTGGCCAACAGCTGCTGCATTAATTTTATACTTCCTCACAAAAGGTTGCTAATGGAGCCGACGGGTTACTGCCTTCTGAAACTCCACCGTAATAGTGAGAAGCGCTAGATTAAATCAAACAATTCTGATTGCTATCTATATTGTGTGTAATAATAAGCCAACCATCAATGAAATGACTTGGGCATTGAGGAGTGATCTTGAACAGGAATTTCAGGAGGTAGTCACATAGATTAAGTTGATTGAAGTAGCTGCCAAGAATTTACAAATTATAGGTATGATGATGTTTGAGATAGGAAGTATAAGAGGTTACAAGAGGTTGTAAAAACTTATCTGAAGAAATTTGTTTTCAACTATAAGGCTGTTTGAATTTGCATTTATTGGCAATTTAAATGTTTAGGAAATTGACAAATTTATTTTAATGATTTAAACTAACGAAATACTTGGGGTATAAATATAAAACTGGAAGCTTACTTTTCCTTAGCTGCAAGACTAGTTTTCCCCTGAGATCTGTGATTTTTTCATTACAAAACTAGAGCACTGCACTAAGTCGACTCCGCTCCCAATTGACCGAATCCAACTTTGAACTCGAACCCCAGATGACCTTCAGCATACGTGCTCGATGTGCTGAGATCGGAGATCTCCCTGGTCAGTTTCTCCCGCCGAACACTTTCAATTCGAAGCGATTCTATGCAACGCATAATCACCCAACGGATGCCGCTGAAAGAGCGAAAATATTTACGCTTTCATTTCGATTTAATGCGCTTTAAATGAGCCCCAATGAAGTTGACTTGGAAAGCCGGCGGTCGGACTCCGGTCTCCGCCTTGGAAAATTGCAAAAGAAAACAAAGTAACCAGAAAAAATAATAAGAAGAGATAAATATTTCTGCAGTGTTTGGTCCGTTTCTTGTTTGGCGGCGAACGGGGCGAACTGGGTTAGAAGGCAGGGAAACCGCGTCGGAAAACTTTTAGCCATTATAAGTGAAAAGCAAAAAAGTGAGCAGGCGTGGGTGTAGCCCTGGCGGGAAAAGATTGATTGATTGATTGACTGATCGATTGAGGAGTAACGTCGATGGGAGGAGACCGCATTTAATTTATGCACCAGGGAGATCCGCAACTGAACCAACCGGTGCAGCCAGGAAACGCGTCGAATGGGAAGCTGCTGGCTGGGCTGGCAAGCCAAGCGAATCTGAATCCTCTCAGCTCCAATTGCTCGACAATGGCTGAAACACTTTGGGCATTAATGAAATTAAACAAACCATAACAAAATCGAAATCAAATACAGCAGCAGCAGCAGCAGTAGCGGCGGCGGTTACTTACCGGCAAACAATTTCCACATAATTTTCAAATAAATCTCAGACACACGAAAACAATTCGTAATTCGAATGAAAACCTCTTGCTAACACGCAGTAGGAAAACTCCGAAAACGGAAAAACGTCCAATGAAAAATTAGCAACAATTTCCAAGCGTTGCAATAGCGAATGCAAAATGCAATAGCAACAACAGCAGCGGCCACTTACATAATCAGCCAGACACCCAACTATTTTGGCATCGTGTGAAGACCCCCCTCCAAAAACCAGCCGATACATATATATATACTCTTATATATATATATATATCTATCCACCCGTTTTTGGCCAATTTTCAAATGGCTGGAGAGGTGGGCGTGTGCCAGGTGATGGCAATCGGCAATCTTAACGCCTTTTTGAGGTCTCTGCCAAATTGGCAGGCGCCGCAAACCCGAAATGGCATTTGATAATTAGACAATTTGGCTCACAGAAGTTAACCGAAAAGCGACATTCCCCACTTGGCTCAAAAGATGCTGCTGGACTGGCCCACAGACCCACAGCACAATGAGCTGGAGAAATGCGCAGAGTGAGAGGCGAGATAACAAATCAAGTGAAAGTTTTTATAGGCTGATGATGCTGCTCCACAAATGTTCGCTGCCAAGCAAAATCATTTACAATTAACATAAATAATAAATTAAAGTCATCGGTTCAAATGCATATCCAAAGTGTCAAAGCAATGACCTGGCACATTGGGGCAAAGCCATGCGAGTTCCAGGGAAAAATGCACGATGACTCGATTGAAAAACAATTTATTATAGGCTTACCCTAGATTTATCTAAGCTATTAATCAGTATTTAAAAAAAGAGAAAGATTAAGATTAGGGTTTGCTAGGAATATTTATTACATTGTAGGAAACCAGAAATCAAGCTCTAGAAGCTTTTTAAATTTTTTTTTAGGAAAGATACTCATCTTTAAAGGCACAAAAATAGTTCTAATTTAGTTCTAACTTCATTATAAAATACAATATACAGAATAGATAAATTCATAGGAATTAAAAGTCACTTAATTCTCCTTTCTCTCTGTAAAATCCTTGTTCTATTTATTACTTTATCTTTTTTTTTTCCTACATTTCAGACCGAAACCAATTGCGAGATGTACCGAGCGGTGATGGAGGAAGTGGCCCGATTCTTCGAGCGCTACCAGCTGCAGCAACAACTCCAGCAGACCCATCGCAATGGCGAGCAGATCGCCCGCTCCAAGAGTCTCCATCATGTTCACGGAGTGGGCAACACCTCGCTGCAGAGCGATTCCCGAGATGATGACGCCTCGAGTGCCGGGTCCGCTTCATATCTGCGTGCCCGGAGCAGCACCAATTTGATACTGAATAAATCAATGCATGCCATGAATGAGGAGCATAATTATGAGACGATTGCGCCAGCTGGAAGCTACAATGCCTTCAAGGATTTCACTTGGTAAGGGGAGACGTTCAATCAAAACGATAATTTATTAAGGTTGATGACCTGCAGATTAAAGCATTAAATTAAGTTATCAAATTTTATTTCGCTTGATGTTGACTCATAAAATATTTTGCTGGAATTTAAAAAGTAATTTAAGAAAGCTATTATTTTTTATAACCAATTTTTCAACCAAGTCAGGTTGCTTTCCTTAGAAATTGTTAATGTTCTATGATGATACTTTATTGGTTACTAGACATGATAATAACTATATTTTTCTATCCGAATTAGGCGTCGCTCGCCGAAGAAATCCGGAGGCAGTGGCGGCTGCAAGGCGCGTCTGTCCTCTCCGGAGGCCTCCGAGGAGAAGCTGAACCAGGAGGCCTTCCGCTTGGCCAGAACCATCAGGAATCTGCTGCACACCTCGGAACAGCAGCCGGATCTCACGCAGCCGCGCCACTCGTTGGCCTCCATTGCGTCGCTGCCCTCGGGAAATCACCGGCTATGCAAGGGGGGAAAACCAGTTCGGTGATGACGCTCTTGACACCACCATTGCACAATTCCACGAGCATCATGAATGCCACACTGGAGGCTCCGTCGCCGGCCGCCAAATCCAATGCGGAACTGATTTTCCTGCGGGCCAACAACATGAGGGACTCGCGGCTTTCGCTGCGCAGCTCCACCGACAGTTCCGTGCATTCCACCATCTCGTCGACGGCCTCCTCCTCCTCGAAAGTGGAGACGGATGAGGAGACCCCGAGCAACGGCAACCACAACAATACGACAACCACCGCCAGCAGCAACACAGCCATCAGTAATAGCAACACTAAGCCCACCAGCGGTAAGCAGAGCGGTTCGAGCACCGAAGACGAGAGTGGTTTCAGTTCGATTAGCTCCTTCCACGACGTGGGTCTGCCCTTGAGTTCCACCTTGATGAACCAAAACCAGAGCCAGAGACGCCAGTCCATGTCCTCAGACAGCAGGAACTCCACGCTAAAGTCGGGCCTCAATATGGTTGGCCTGCCGCTGCAAACCCAAACCCAAATTCAAGTTCAGGTCCAGGCCCAGATTTCCACCAGTCCGTCGCCTTCGAAAACCTATCGCAATGCGAATCGCTATCAGCGATTTTCCACCTTATCAAACGAAGATGCAGCCGCTGTTTTGTGGGTCTAGATCGCTGGATATCCTATCAGAAATACTTTAATATGATTTTTTTCAACATTTTCCTGGAAATAATTTTGAAGAAAGATCCGAATCCTTTTTTAAGTTTTGTATACTCCCCCGTAGCTTCGTAGTTTCGTTTTTTCTCTAGTGCCTCCGCTTAGTGTTTAGTTGCTCACTTTTGAAGAGTGTTTAATTTGTAATCGATTATGTTACCATTTAAGGACCAAGCGCGCATTTCTATGTTAACAACATGTAAATTTCATTTGACCTAAGTTTTGCAGTATTTATAAATAAATGAAAAGTAATTTATACAAAAAGAAGCCTAGTAGTCTGTTTATTAAACATCAAATAAAAGGCTGCCATTGTTTGATTTCTCTCTTTTCGATAAGTTTCGTTTAGGTCCTGGAAAAATGTGCTAAAGTATTTTTGGTTATCCGTAAGCAAGTCCCACTCGAATCGCTACTAAATTCGTCGAGACCACAACCGTTGAGGTCAACATATAAATTAAAGTTCTCTATTTGTAAAGGAAAAAACCACTTCGATGGCCAGTGCACAGTTGCAGAGTTTCGAATCGGATGTTTTTGAAGGGCAGTCCAGGGACTTTAAGGATCAGCAGGCAGCCATTCTGCAGGATCACCAGGAGCAGGAAAATTTCGCACAAGAAGGCAACAGTGGGGAACTAATTGATGAAGGGCTGTACGAAGTGGAGTACAAGCATCCATTGGAGCATGTGTGGACTTTGTGGTATTTGGAGAACGATCGCTCCAAGCACTGGAAGGACATGCTGAACGAGATCACCCAGATCGATAGTGTGGAGACCTTCTGGAGCTTGTACTATACCATCAAGACGCCATCGGAGCTGAAGATCGGATGCGACTACTACATGTTCAAGAAGGGCATTAAGTAGGATGAGATTTACAATCATTGAACTGACTAATAGTTATCCTTTATCTATAAGACCCATGTGGGAGGACGAGGCCAACATCAAGGGAGGCCGCTGGCTGGTCAATGTGGGCAAAAGTGCCAAGTTGGAACTGGACCGGATTTGGCTGGACATCCTCCTCATGATGGTTGGGCAATCCTTTGACCACTCTGATGAAATCTGCGGCGCTGTGATCAACATTCGCGCCAAGAGCAACAAGATTTGTGAGCTCCTTAAATGCTATTTAAGCCTAAATTAATGAAATACCTTTCTTGCAGCTGTTTGGACTGCCAATGGCAACAACGAGTCGGCCATTCTCGAGATTGGCCAAAAGCTGAAGATGCTCCTGCATTTGCAGTCTCATAATCTGCAGTACCAACTCCATTCTGATGCAATGTGCAAAATCAATTCGGGCGTCAAATCGGTTTACACTCTCTAAATACGAGTGAAAAGGTCCTCTTCGTTATTTTATTTCTATTTTTATACAGCAGATTCGTAGAGTGTGGAAGATGAGATTGGCTTAGCGTTCGCCTAAACCAAATTGTTCGATAAATTAAATTGAAGATCTAAACAAAATTGATTTTTGGCTTCGGTTTTTTTTGAAATGTTGCCTACTTCGGCGCCTTGCTTTTAAAAATAAACAGTGCGTTGGTTTTAAAATAGTTTTCTTTAATCAGTGTTCACATATATTTACTTAAACATCATCATGCTTCGAATGCATTACCACTTAGGGTCGTAATAGCCTACTCAAGCAAAATCGTTGAGTTTTAATCAATATAGTAAGATAGGTTTTTAAAAATTTACTCAGTAAACATTCACAGCTTGTTGCGGTGTGGCGATCATCCGACCGAAACCCATTTCGAATCGATCGTTCGGTGCGTGCGTGAATGCGGTCTCTAGTCACTGCAAATGAGTTGTAGTTGGTTACATTTAGCGACGCGACACAATTATTCGGGCACGGTAGTACACATATGGAGAACTATTTACAAGTTTATCTTGGTCAATCGACAGCTCGGGCGAACGCTTCAACATCCGCGAGCTCCACATCGACAGTTGCAACTTAGAAATACATTTTACAATCTAAACAATATTGGACGCGTGATAATTTGTTTCTGGTTGTTTTTGTGAGATTACGAATTCGAAGGTTGCATCTTCAGCACATGGACATGGGACACCCATTTTCCAAGCGGGTCGTCTCTCTCAAAAGAGACTTCAAAAATGGAATACACAAATTGACTGCGGAATCGGAGACGGCAGGCAGGCACTAAATGCGGCCCACAACGGCCTTGTTTTTCCGCGTCGGTTGCACGGAGAGCGGCGGCACCACCAGCATCTCGGATTGCGTTGAAGGCGAACTGCTACGCATACTGGCACAGTCCTCATCATCTACCTCCTATAACAAAATCACAACATATTAGTCATTGATCGTTTTAGAAGTTCTCTTCTTTAACACACATTTATATTCGTGCAGCTGGCCAAACGCATTTGGGCCAATTGAGAGGCGGGCGTCAAGGAGTTCGTGCTCCCAAAAGGCGACGTCATCATGGTGGAAACGGCACGTTTCAGCTTGTTGGGCGTCTTATTAAAAGAGAAGGCACGACCCACCTAAAAAGAATACAAAATATTTAAATTATAAATTCGAGCTTTAATTGCAGTTTGAGGACTTACCTTGAGTCGCGTCTTGGCCGCCAGTTTAAAGGCCTTGCTCAGCGTGCTGACATTCACATCGCTTATGTCCACCTCCAATTCCTGGGAGGTACGACAAATCAAGAGTTTGTCCTGAAATATAAAAACACGAATATAAATTTAAGAATTCAAGGATGGTTTTTAGAGTTACATCAAACTTTAATATCGTTTACTTACCGCATCTGTTCTGCATGTGTGTGCTGCAATCTCATTGCACAACTTTTTAACATAGACCGACTTATCCGTCTCCTCGTCGCTGATGGTAAAGGTGTACAGCTTCTCCTTGTCGCCACGCAAAAGCAAACCAAAAGCCCTCGGACTATCCGAAATGTCAATCACCAGCCGAATCGTATTCAACGATATCAGCTTGAGATGCTTATGCGTCTTGGCCGTGCTCGGCGACTTGGCGGTATTGAATCCTCGTGAACGCCGCTTGCATATCTCAATGGAATCGGAGAAGAGGTACAGGACCAGGTTATCACCACGACCACTCAGCGAGTCGGAGAGCTCGTTCACCTCGCATTTCAGGATGAAGCTGCGATTGGAACTCACTAAATGCGCCGGACAACCTTCAATATCGTTGAATATATCGAAGATGGCCATGCGCGACTCAGTGCGTCGTTTGTCCTCGTTGATGTGCAGCGTGACCTGTTTGATGGCCTTCAGTGCCTCCTCCAATCGCCCGTGATCCGCATTACTGCTGCCGGTGTGCTTCAGAATGTCATTCAACAGCAGACTGATGCTGGGCAATCGCTGCACCGGTCGGATCATCAGATCTTGCAGACCTTGGCGGCCGCACTCCGGTTTCGTCTGGTTGATCTTGAGGAAGGCGTGGAAGCGCGGATACTCCCGATCGCAATACTGCAGTTGCTCCTTCATCTGCTCGAAGAAGTTGACGTACGGCGGATAGGCCTTAATCAGATCGTCCCGATGTTGGATGATAATGTCGCCAATCAGACAATCCTCCCGCCAATTGGCATGCAACTTGCGCAGGTGCTCCAGCATGCTCTGGTGCACCTCGTGGATGGGCAGAAAGTTGCCGAAAATTGTTTTGATCTCGGACTTGTTGAGCAGCGGATCATTGGTCTCAGCCAGTTCCTCCAGTTTGTTTTTGAAGAGCTGCAAAAAAAGAATTTATTTAGTATGTATTTATGTATGTATAATTCTTATTTCCAACATACATTCAATATGGTATCCAATATGCCCACATAGTTGGACTCTGTGGTGTAGAAGTCCATAAAGTGGTTGAAACGCATCGATTTCTTGGCTGGCGTGGATTCGCTTGCCTCCGGTTCGGCATGCAGCAGCTTATCCGCCTCCAGCTTATCAGGACTGGTGGTGCAATCGAAGAAACTATTCGAGACGGACAGCAAACCGGCATCGGAGACGGAGGAGCGTCGCTTCCCAGAGCCCAGAGGTGTGCCTTCCAGTTGAATGCGGTGCGATAAACGCTTGCGTTTCCGCTTGTTAAAGCTAATGGGTAACGAATCCCGACGATCTGTATTGGGTGTATTCGTGATGCTGTCCAAATACTAGAGAGAGTGCAGAAGGTAATTAACTTTTAGTTTGAGCAGGAAAGGCATTCAAGAGTGAGCCACTTACGTCGCCAAACAGATAGTCCATCTCGTTGGCATAGCCATTCTGTATGGTATACCAGAACCAGTCTGATTTCAGGATGTGCGTGTGATTATTCTTTGGCTCCGGCTTCGTCAAAGTCGTGTGCTCGTCAACCACCTGAACAACGGCAATAAATCAAGACGATTAATTCCGGTGATCCACCGTTTAGTATTGCGGAATGTGCGCTGTATTGCAAAAAAATGTTTTGTTTGCTGCCTAATTTAAATTATACGAAACGCAGGCAATCAAGCGTCTATATAGGTGGTATATAGAGAGATATATAGCTCGGCACAGCAGCAGCAAGCACAATAAATTTTGAACACATTCATCAAATGCAAAAAGGCCAAACAAAACATTTTTAGTGCACATTTTTGGCAGCACTTTGAAGCGGCAAAAAAGATCTTGGCGAACGAAACGAGGCAAAAGTGTGAAGCTACGGAACAAAAATGCAAATGGCTTTGCCCGGAGAACGAGTAACATTTGTGTAAATATTTGTTAGTCCATCGAAAAAATAATTCACCTAAATGCGAAGAAATCGCTCGTGCTAGACGACTAAAGACTTGCTCGATTCTATTCTTCTCTCCATTTATTTGTTTCAACTTATTTAACTACTTTGTTTTTTTTTCTATTTGGCATTTTTAACATTTATTCAAGCTGAACGAAAGTCTATAACCGACGTGTGGGGTGTGTGTTGCAAATAAATGTTATTCCAATATTTATTGTGCTGCTTTGTTTGGTTGTGTATGTTTTTTTTTTGTGCGCTGGCCAGAAAAAATAGTGAGTAGACCATAGAAACCAAAGTTATTTACAGAAGAAATTCCAGACACCGAACCAAATTAGATGTTATATGAGTTGTGACTTAAGCTACGGCATAACCATTAAATAACAATTAACAAAACATTTGGAACTTGGGATGAACGGAGGAGCTGGATGATGGATGTCGGGGGATTGAGGAAAATCGCGTCGTACAGCAACTGAAATAATGTTAAAAATGCTCGAACAAAGTTGGTAAAACACAATGACAAATTGGAAGAGAGATGAACCACATTTTAAAATTTTCTTTTAAGAATTATTGCTAGAAAAACAAACATGTAAAAATTGGACACAAAAACCTAAAAACAAATCTGAAATTGAAAATATTTAGTGGTAGGAGTTAAATAAGAGTAATAATTTTGGTGAAACCTTCTAAAAAGTAGATTTTTTAGGGATTCGAACTTCAGATTCTTTGCCGTTTCAAAGCCTGTCTTTTAAATATAAAATTTCTTTAAAGAAAACGCCAATGAATTTGAGATGTACCATTTGCATGGGTTCTTCTATGGGGCCGGGGCTTTGACGCCTCGCTGTCGACTCTTCGGGAGACTTAATTACGTGCACCGATCTATGTACAGCGATCGAAGTCGATAATATGGGAGATGACGATGATGATGATGGTGGCATGGCGGGCGTGACGGCAGCAGCACAGAAAGCAAATGTGTGGGTGGAGGTATCGTTGACATCCAGGGAGGCGGTGGGATTGGGATTCGGGTTGGGATTCAGGGTGGGTGTGGACGGGGTGGTGAGGGTCAAAGAGGAAACAACACCGGAGACGGGACCGAAGAGTCGCTTGGCTGTTTTGGGAGTGGCTGTGGATCTGAGCTTGGGTGCTTTGGGGGTCTTGAAACCGCTATCGAGGATGGTGGAACACTCCGGCGTGCCATCGACACCCTTGTCCGTCCTTCGACTGCTGCTCCTCGTTATCCGGCCGCAAAAGCTGCGCAGCTTTTCCTTCACTGGCTTTCTGATCGATTCATTGAGGGTTAAATTTATGGAGGAGGCCACGGAACAAATGGAGTTATCGGCTGCCTCGCTGCCAATGAAACTCGAGGCATCTGCCACTGAGCTTCTCCGCGGTCTTAGCGTCTTCATCAGTGGTTCGGCCACAAAGCTAACGGACCGACGAAGAGTCCTCGAAATGGATCCGGTTCGTATGAGTTTGGGTTTTTTGGTGCTCGTTGGCAGGGCAAAGGAATCCACCGACATCAGGGACACATTGTCGAAACTATCCCTCTTGCGCTTCAGATCATTTTCAGAAGCTGGCAGATCATCTGTCTCCAGATCACACTCGTCAATAGCTTTTAGTATAGGGGAAATATTCTGGGTGGTACTTTCGAAATCCAAAACAATTCCATCCATTTCGGGTGAACTGAGTGGCGTGGCCGCTTTTAAACTAGTTCGTATTTTGCTGGTCTTTGGCGTGCTGGCCTGGACATCATCGTCGTCCTCCTGCTTCGTTTGCTCCTCCCCTTCAACTTTTGGCTTTTGCTCCTCGTCCAAATCTTCTTCATCCGATTCGGGTAACTGATCATCTCCTGGATTTCTCATATCCGCAAACTCGACAAAGAGCCGTTCGTCAAAGTGTATGTCATCCTCGTCATCAATGGCCTGATTTTCTTTCTGCTCCTGCTCTATGTCGATATCCAAAGACATTCCCTTATCGGTTTCTGTTTCGGATTGATCCTCCTTTTTGATTTCAGCCCGCTCAAGATCCTCAGCCCGCTGCTGCTCCTCCCCCTCCGCCTGTGACCCAGCAGAGCTACCTGGGATTTGGGATTCGGTTGGGTTAGTTTGGGTGCTTGGGTTAGTATCTGTGCTATTGCTAGTGCTTGTAAATACTGCGCCCGTATTGGGCATCACCTGGAAGACACACGGATTAGGTTTTGTGGGTAAAATAAATTAGCCGCTCGAAACAGCTAACAAGCATGTAAAAACAAAAATCCAAAAAGACAAGCATGCAAACTACAAAACTCAAAACTACCCAAAAGCTTGCATCCTAGCATTTAGAAATAAAAGTAAAAGACTCACGACATGCGAGCACTCCGGATCCTCGAGTTCGGCACAGACGCCTCCATTCTCTAAAAGTACGTCCACCATGTGCTGATGCTCCTCCGCGGGGAATCCAAAGAAGCAAATCTTCTGGCCCTCGAAGGCCTTCAGCCGATGCGTCTTGGTGAAGAGCTCCTGCGTGGCGTCAAACTCCAGCGAATTGCGCTCCGACCAGGCGGCAAACACCCAAGCAGGACGAACCACGGTCAAACGGAAAGTTTTGGCGTACCTGGAAAAAGAAAAGAGGTTGTTTATTTTAGGAGATGATTCCTGGTTTGCTGAAAAACCTTTTGTATACCAACTATATATTTAGAAATTCAATTATTCATTGGTTTACATTGGTTTTTTTTCAGATTGTAGAACTCACTGGTACTTTTCGCCGCCACTGTGATTGCAAATCAAATGCGTTGTCTTCGTGTTCAGGTCCTTCTTGATGCAGCCGCCCATCGAGTGAATGAGATTAACCAGCTTGGTCTGTGAAATTAATAAATTTTTCAATTAACAATTCGCTATCAAATTTGAAGACTCTTAACCAGAGGCAGAGGCTACTACTCACCAGCTCATCCTTTTTGCGTATGCCGGTGAAGCAAGTGACCACGCCGCGCATCGCGTAGTTGTAAATGGGCCGCGAGTTCTGGCCCAGTGTCTGTTTCATCTCGGCCGCGTACTTCAAAGCCGGCGGTCCAAGAATACTGCAAGCGATATAAAGGGAGAGGCAATTAAATATTTATGTGGCACACTTTTGAGTTATGCAAGGCAATCTGGCTTTTATGCCCCAATTGACCTTGGCAGTTGCAGTTGCACTTGCCGCTGCCATAATTCATTTCGAATCGGTTGGCTATCGGTATCGGTATCTTTAGCTTTGCCCGATATCATTCGGAATACAACTGATTGCGAGCACTCGGCGCGTTACGCTTTATTGAACTTTGACTGAAGAATCATCTGATATGACTAAGGGCGCTTTTGTTTATCATACCGGACATCGACAGCTGTTGGACAGGCAGCCCATCCTCAAGCTCAACCCATTCCCTGCCAGCCCATCCGCACAATCCCAACTGGCAAAAGCCGGAAGTTTTTATAAACAAATCAATCGAGCGGAAGCTGACATCTCGAGCATTGTTTGCCACATTTTGAATGCATTTTGTGGGCGTAGAGGGATGTATTTATGATACTCAAAATGTGAACATTTATTTATGTGGCTCATCAGGCGCAATTATAATTAAGGCCGAGGGGGATTGAAAACAAATTTGCGGGGCGTTGAGTAATGCTCTTGAATTGGGGAATATTTATGAATGATTCTTTAGGAATTTTCAGGGGTGGACACACATAAATCTCAACTCTCTTGTGGATTTATATATTTAAATAGAATTTTAATCTTGGAAACGAAGCATTCTATTAATAGAAGTAAATGGGTTTAATATGTTTTATTAAGTAGCTATTTATTTGCAAATTCCAGAGGGACTTATGACCACATAAAATTCAAGATAAATTTGGCTTTCATTTTTGAATCTATTATACTGGTTCTTTTGATAAGCAAGGATTATCAGCTAATTTAATTATCAGTACGCCTATATAATTTCTTTTCTTTTTTTTATAACCATTTCATAAGCACCAAACTCACAGTTTCCATCTTCCTTTGGCAGTTTTCTCCCCTGGTTCCATATTTTCACTTGATCTTTCACTTTCTTAGACTTTTCTCAGGTTGACTTCCTGTTGATTTCTGTTGTTTGTTCACTTTCACTTCTTCTGTCTCATTGAGTCTACACTATCATATCATTTTACATGTGCATTTGCACCACATTTCACCCACATTTCGGGCTGTTAGGTTCAGTTAACCTTACCAACAAAGGAAGATTTCCATATGCACAAATATTTGTCGCGTTCAAACGGAACGATTTTTGTGTGATTCAGAGTACCAGAATATGAATAAGTTGAGACATATAGCCGGAGGAACCGAGCGACAAGAATTTATGATTCTATCCGGACAACTAAACAAACACAACTGCCAGCCTCGTCGCTTGTGAAAATTATTGAATAAACGATGAGGCGGCAGCGAGCGAGAATGGAAAATGGAAATAGAAAATGCCTGACATGCCAGGCGGTCCACCCGCTCGGCTCCTTCTCCTCCTCCGTTCCTAGATTTTCCCCACTTTTCTGCTTGTTCTCTCCTCATCACTTAATGTGGCACATAAGTGGCAAATGCTATACAAGCGTGATATTTTCCTATAAGAAGTGCAAACATCTCTCGCAAATGGAGAATGTAAGATTCACAGAGAACATTTTTGGGTTTTTCTAAAAGAGAAGATCAGAATCTAATACTAAAAAATTCCTATTAAAATGTTTTTTTTTTAATACATTTTTACCAATTTGTCTGCTTTTCTTTTTAATTGGGTTATTCATTAGATTTTGCTATCTATTAGAATATTTTTCTGTGTAGAAACGATTGCGAGAGGGTGACAGTAAACAAAGAAATGAAACGGAGGCAGGTGAAATGCAAAGAGAGTTGAGCCAAACCAATATTTAAGCAGCAGCGAGAAAAGAAATGGAATTCCGATGAACAATTAAATATTTCTCGATGGGATGGATGCAAGGAAAACCCAGGAAAATTGTGCTGCTTAGTCAAAGCATAAAAATGCGACGCGCGTGCTTGACAACAATAAATGAGTTGATCGGTTTGGAGTGGATCGGGGGAATCTGGGGATCTGGGGGTTTCGACCTCGACAATGGATTATCTCTGCCATCTCTAGAAACTCGCGATTCTTTCTGTAAAGTGCGCCGATCTTTGACTGAACACGGGGCACTCGAACTTTGCGAGGGTCAGAACTATAGAACAGTCAATGACATGTCGTTCGCGGTCTCCTTTCCGTTCTGCCTCAATTAAATTGCCATATCAAAACTTATAAATTATATACTCCCCGCAGATATACAATAAATATTTAAATATATATATAAGCAGCGTAGCAGCACACATCTTATAAATGGCTCAATATAAACGCATAAATTCTCTTTTCTTTTTTTTTTTTGCGATTTGTTATATTTTTTTTATGGCAAAGAATTTCCGTTTTTTCCCAAACGCTTCTTTCGACACTTTCGACTTTATTTGACATCGCTCGTTCTGAATATACACGAATTCTTGTAGAATCTTGGCGCCAACAGATTGTCGCAATGCCACCTCCTCAATTTGATTCAGAGGAAACTTGGCCAATGGCAATAGAGAGTTTGGCTTCCCCAGAGAAGAAGTCCCCATGAAATTCACGCAAAAAGATATGTGAAACAAATAAAAACAAAACCGATTCATTATCAATTTCTGTGGAATAAATACTATTTGAAATTGTCATCGTTTCGTTTGTTTACACTGTTGAATTGCTTTAAATCGTCAGTTCGCTACGTCCCCAAAATAGGCAATGAAATGCTTTGAGACTTCCCCCATTATGTGAATGGATCATTCCTATGAATCAGAGAATATATATTCACACAACGATTAACAAGCTCTTTGTGGCATCACTTTTGGCGAGGTTAAGTAGCCGTTAAAGTGCCTTCGGTCATTCTTTCCACTTATCTGGGATTTCTGGGAATATCTCATTGAAATTTCTTCGGTTTCCCATTAAGTTTTGTGTACTTTTAATCAAAACAGCCTTTGTGCACTATAAGGTTGATTTTTTAACATTAATTAAAAATTTGATATAGTATATCAACTTGTAACTTGAATTTCTTTATAATATTTTTTTATTTTTTATTAACTGAAAGCAAATCTTGTGTTAGTTTATTATTCTTACGTTTTTAAAATTTGAAACCATCTATATTTTTGAAGATCAAAGTGTATTATCAGCCTACCATTAAACTAAAAATAATTTAATTTGCTGAATTACCTAAGAAGAACTCCGTCAAAACAAAGAAAATCTTTTGACATGTTATATAAATTTTAACGATCAAATTAAACACACCTTTCGTAAACAGTCACGATTTATTAATATCAGTTGACAAAAACAAACTAGAAAAGTGCATATTTATTTAAAAAATAAACAGATCAGGCTGCAAATAAACTTTTTACGTAGTTTATCTAATTGGGTAAACAAATTCCGAATTTAATTCCAGTTTATGTTTTTCTATAAGCGAGTACCAATTAAATGTATAGACAAAAAGACTACATTAAAAAATGTGAAACATGAAATATAATTAGCCCAGAGGAAAAACAACTTATGCGCACCTCAGCTTTGTTTTATTTTCCGCTCATTTAGCGAACAGGAAAAAGTGGTGAAAAACAAATACAAATTGCAATAACAAAACAAACCGAAACATGAATGAAAATCTATGAAATAAATAATAAATTTTAATGGGGGGAGAACAAGCTTCTTTTTGGTTCTTTTTTGCGTATTCGGTTGGGCCATTCCTTATAAGCAAAGCGTGTTGGTAAAACATGAAACGGAAAGCAGACGCCCACCCGCCCCCTTAAGTCATAACAACTTAAACGCAATTGGTGACCTCCAAAAAAGCTCGTAAATAAATGCTAACCAAAGTATGGCAAAATTATGGTTAATCATTAATGAGACAGGGCAGAGGTTGGTCCCCAAAACAAAACAAAAAAAAAAAAAAAAAAATTGGGGAAGAGTTTGGGGGTGGGATCAAAAGCGTGCATGTTATTTGAGGCTATTACTGCGCAGCAGGCAAATTAATCAAGCGTGCAAAAAATAAAGAACAGAACCAAACAGAACCAGACCGAACACATATAGAGCAGAAGAGCAAACATTTGCCCAAGTTTCAAATTTGACAACAATTTGTAGCAAGCGAAAAATTATTGCCAGCTGATTTCGACAAGCCGATGTTGGATATACACTTAAATTATATCTCTAAGTTTTCTTTTAAGTTACAATAGTTAAATGCTAAATCATTGATAAATTTTCGTAACTTAAAAGATAGTTCTTGGTAATAATCTAAACATTTTAACACTTTAAAAAGCCAACAAACTTCTGTTTATATAAACCTAATAAAACAGGTGCAGTTTCCCGTTCTTCCTCGAATATGCATTTAAACCAAAATCTCTAATAAATGTTTATGTTTACTTCAGAAAACAATTGAAACGTTTTCCTTATTTCTGCTGAACTAAAAATTAAATTATCACAAGGATTTTATTGGATTTGAATTTTGAACATTGAAGAAGAGTAGTTGCCCATCTAGAAAATGCAATTGCGCATTCGTAAACAAAGGCTAATAAAAATGTTTGGGAGTAATACCCTGCAGTGTTTATTTATTTCTAAACATTAAAGTATGACGGGCACCCAAAAGAAAGGGTATACAATCGGAAGGAAGGGGACAGAGGGGCGGTGGACTGCCAGATATATCTGGCACATGGCTGACGCTGTCAATCTAGAATCGGTGGCTAACGAATGGATCCAGAGGGGCAAATTGGAGAGGAGGTAGTATCCCCGTGCGTGTGTCTCGATTTCAAACTCAATTTGCTGCGGCTCAGCATGATGGAGGCGATGATAATGGCTCTTGACTGGGCTCCTCATAGCCAAAAAGTGGGTTGAGCAAAATGGAGGTGGAAGGGGGGGCGGACAGCTAGCCACATGTGACAGATTTGTGCCCACCCGTTTTGTCTAAATTAAGCTGCCTTCTTGTTCTTCGGCATTTGCTGAGTTATTATTAGTGCCCATGACTAGTACTCACCATTCCTTCTGCTTGTGTATCGCATCGAAGCTGGCACCCTCGAAGTCATCTAGGACGTAGAACGTCCGCCAGTCCGACTCCCCGATGATGTCCAGACCCGTTTCCGAAGTGACGATGGGCAGGCCAAAGGATTCGGCTGCCTGCAGCGTGTCCGCATCCTGGCCCACGTCTCCCACCAAACAGATTCGAGTGGGCAGCGTTGTAATGGACATCTCTGGTGGGCGAAACAAATGGGCAACACATTAGAAAATCAGATGCAGGCATTGTGTGCTCTTAAAACTCAGAAACTTTCGTTGTATAAGGTTAAGTGCATGTCAGTCACAAAGCAAGGCACTTCGAATCGAATAGAGGATTTCCTTTAATATCTTCAAAGTTAAAACTTTGAGAAAAACTGTTCATCATGACCCATTTATTATATTAAATACAAATAGCTATTAGCTAGAGTGAAAAATATTTTTTGGCAAAAGTAGATTGCAATACTTTTGTTATGGAATGTTTCCTAAAATAATAAATTAGCTAAGAAAATAAAAATTGAAGTGAGAGGATGCTCTTTAATTTTTCTATTCCTTGGGTACTCAAAACTCAACAGCCCATGCTCCTCCGACTCGCTTTTGTTTAGAGGAGACTGGAATGAAGATTTTGTTTGATTTATGGCTATTTTGTGGATTTGTTTGTTTATGCAATTGAGTGTGCGAGACTGGGAAAGAGATTGAAGGAAAACTGTGCAAAATAAAACAATGAAACGCGAAGAAACAGAGCACGGCGACTAACGAAAATAGAACCCCTTGAGGATATACAAATGGAGGATGGAGAATGGGGGTCTGGTCAGCAAAATCCCCAGCAATGCGCTGTCGATCATTAAGCAGCCAAAATGCGAGCTGTTGACATCAATTTTAATTGTGCCGATTTCTTAGCCGCCGAAAAAATGCGACCTTCGTTCTCATAGTTTTTGACACAAAACGAAAGTAGGATGCGAAATGAAAACAACGCAAAATACTAGGGCTACAAAATGTTTTCAAGTGCAAATCATTTACCCCCAATCGACATGGACACAACACATGGAAGAAGGCCGCAGACGGCGGCTTTGTTGCATTAATTTTATCCAGAATTGTGCAGCTGTAACCGATGCCAATTGCATCTATATATCTCTGTATGCCAGCACTTGTATCCGTATCTGTATCTGGCGAGACATTCGCCACTTGTGCAAATGAACAAAGTCCAGGAACTGCAGAAGAAGAACTGCAGTTCGTGTCGTATTCTCTTAATGACGTTACGGAATTTTCAAATAGATATTCCAGATATGCATTCCCAAAACAGGCGATAAACATTGCAATTTACCTAATGGAAATCGTTGGGATTTATGGACTAGTGAAATGTTTATAAGGTAGGAATATCTCAAGAATGTGATGTGTCTAATAAAAACTTTGATAGGGAATGTGCACCCCGGGAATTCAGATGTTATGGGAAATTTAGATGAGAATAAAGTCATAAAGTAGTGCCCACAACATTTAATTTGATGAGCTTCTTGTTTGAATTATGCACTTATTTTTCAGTGACAAATTCCTTAAAAAGAATTTTTTATATTTTTCTTTTTTTTCTGGAAAAGGTTTAATTTATTTTCTATCTAATTTTGTATATTTCTTGTCGATATATGGAACTTTAAATTGCAAATATTGTTAGAAATTGTTACTCATTTCTAGGAAATGAATTTCTAACAGTTTATAAATTATTTCCTAACATGACATTCGATTGTTTCCTCTGAAAGCGATATATTTGTTTTTGAAATTCATAGTATTTTGCCTGTTCGTGCACCTTTTTGGATTTCTGGATGATTCACGAAAGTCTGCACCCTACTTAAGTTTCCCTCTCGTTAAACCAATATTTTTATTCTTGCTCATGCGAATATTCAACCCCTAAAAAGAGTACCTGAGGGACTTATCTGGGACTCTCTAAATACCTGTAAAATCCTCGTACACCTGACACAGGGCAGCCTGTCGGAGCTTCGCCTGCTTGACTTCCTCGGCGGCGGCATATGTGAAATACGAGGCGGATTGTCGCTGAACCGTGACCACCTTGTTGCGCTTGTTTCCGAAGTGGTTACCAAAGTTGAACTGTACAAGCGGTAAGTGCAACATTTTGCACGAGGGTCCTCGAGGATCGGACTCTAAAACATAACTAACTGCTTGCAGGGCTCAGGGAACCCCTGAAATCGCATTTTGCATAGCCACAGGTGGTGGCTCAGGTTGAGAAGAAGGTAAGGCAAAGCGGTAAGCAAAATATCCGAATGTGGGAATTGTGCCGAAACTCACAGGTGGCGGCCACCATTTTGCGCTATTCGGGAATTTCCTTCCTTTCTGCCTAAGCAAAAATCCGCCGTTTTCTTCTATTCTGCTTTTCCTCGCTGGCTGTCTGCCAGAAACATGATGAATAACTAATTGAGTGGCATCTGAGAAACGAAAAGCCATCCAAAGAAGAGGTCTGTGTGGGTTTTTGGGCGATCAGCCTCCTTACACTGAGCAAAATTTCCTTTAAGAAACCCGAGACATTTTTGGTACTTCAAATGACTCAAATCAAAAATGAGGGCTTTGCCAATTTATTACAATTTTGTTGCCACAATCAACTTGAAAACAGTTTAAAATTAATTACAAAATGTTAATATTATAATATCGGTTTTTTTTTTAATTAATAATGTTTCGCTTGCATATATTTTCAATTTTATTGTGTATATTATAGGTTCAAAATCAACCAATCTGTAACATTTTGAGATGGCAATGAACTGATTTTTGCTTGTGTGGCAGACTTTGTCAAATGGCGCAGAGTCATCAAAGAAAAATCTTGTAATAAAATTACGCATCCCGCGGAAGCCTTGACGTAGGAGAATGCCGGATCCGAAGGTCTGCGCGGCATGTAAAATGCCATTAGCATTGAGGGACAGAAAACACGGGCTATATAGTCATAGTTATAGGCATGTGCGGCCTGTCAACATGTGTAAAAGGAATACGAGGTAAGCAACCAGGGGTAGGTAAATCACCCGGTAAAAACAAAAAAGGAAAAAGCAGAGAACAAGGATCGAGGATCCTGCGCAAGCATAAGGGAAGGACATCCTACCTGAGTAAAATATCAGAGCAGGCAGAGAGACATAGTTGTCTGGAAATGTTCGCAACTGTGGCTAAGATGTTTAAGCTAAACAACATCAAAGTCCTAGTTTCTTCATTAAAAGATCTAACCAAATTATAAACTTTTAATTGTTATATGCTCTATTTGCGCCCTGAATTCGGACACAAAACACATTTAATGATAATTTTATTTGTTTATTCCGCTGGAGGAAAAATTCTTTTCAGCCAACATATTTACACGTATTTTTTAAGGCATTAACCTTTTAATTGGATATGGAACTGTAGGGAATTTATTGGTTTTTCTGTTTTGCGCCTGGGCACGTGAAGGTTAAAACATGTGATATAAGATCAGTAAGTTAACACATTTTTTCAAGAATATTACTTGTTTTGAAGGATATATTTATCAAAACGTGCCAATTTTTAAAACCAGAATTTTTTTCCTTTTATACAACAGTTAATTTAAAAAAAACTGATGATCAATTATAGCTTTCCTTGCCTAAAAAGAGCTAAACTGACATCACTGATAACAGGAATTGGTGTTGTTGCCTGTCCTTTTTTTACTCTCACTACAGTTAGGGCGCCTTCGTTTTTGTTGTTATTGCCGGTACAGTGCCGACTAGGAGAGGTTCGGGGAAAAGAGAGAGGGAGAAAACAGCAGGCATTTTGCGTACACATTCTTTTTATGTGATAAATATTTTCTACACCGAAATAAATTCAGAAAATAAGATTAAAAAATCACCGACGCTATGCCGTTGCTTTTTTAGTCACACACACACGTATTAAACATGTACTTATAGTCATATTTATTTGCTGCCAGCGACATTTTTTATGAGGATCTTTTGGCCCCGTCTGTGGTGGTACCCCGCTCCACCCTTCGAAACCCCTTCATTTCAGCGACATTGAAAAATGAAATATTCGCGGGGTATTTGGACCTGCCACGCCCCCATGCCACCGCCCCACTTGGTACTCACCGCACTTTGATTGCTCTTCAATGGTCTCCATTTCGATGGATCTTGTTGTTTCTTAACGCGAATTATTCGTGGAACATACACAAAAACACACACACACTGGCGAAACGAACGCACAAGGAGACAAATAATTCGTTTGTACTCGATTCGTTTATTTATTTTGATTAACTCAAAGTTGTTTTCGTGCATTTAGCGAGCATTGTGTTTTTTATTCTTCTTAAATTCACTCAATTAAAAAGCGGCGCGCAAAAGGCTTCCTCACGCACACACACACGCACAGGCAGCAATGCCTTGAAGTTTTAGTTCGAACGGTTCCGCGTACCTTTTTGAATAGTCTAACTAGCAAAAGATAAACAATTTAGTGGCACTCAAGGCACGCGTCAACGGCTGGGGCGTCGGAATTATCTGGGCGTCAGAGTTAAAAAATCAAAATCCAACGGCCGCGCACGTCCGGTGCTATTTCGGTGTGACCGAGTTGCGAAAATACTTGCCTCTAAAATAAGCTTGCCAGAATACTTAAATTAATTGTTCCCTAAATATGCCGCCATTAACTTTTCGTCAACCTAGAAAAACATGGTATAAATCTTGGATGGGCCGCACTTGAAATGATTATTAATGTATTAAGAAAATAAATACAATGCAATCCTTCAGATATTAATTAAAACAAACTATTTTAAGGAATGTGGGCCATATACATTGCCCTATGCATGTACATAAATAAAAGTTTTTGTTACAAAATATTACAATTGCAATTCCAAAGAAAAATACCTCAGGTTGGTTGAAATGAAATTATTATTTAAAATGTTTCGAGAACACCTTTCAAATAATAAAATCAGTGCTATTTTTCAGTTTCAAATACACCCGCTTCTTTGGATCCACATTAAATACTGCAAAATCGATAACTTTATACAGCGTTGCCACTTCGCCCGCACTTGTTGCTGTATCCCAACAAACACCCCCTCGCACACACACACAATCAGGCATTACGTCAATATGGCAAACAATCTGTCAAACGCGCAATCACAACAACAAAGATTCGCCCGCATTGACAGTTGGTCAATACATCCATTCGGGATTTGCTAAATAGGCGACATCGCTGAGGAGAATTGGCGAAGGTTTCTTTAAAAATGCTCCCCCAAGCGCCGCCCCATGGACTGAAGGTGATGTCGGGGGCGGAGGAGAACCGACACTACCTGCGCGCCTTCATCCAGACCTACAGGGACCTCCCCGTCCTGTGGGACACTTCCCTAAGGGACTACACGAACCGGGAGAAACGGGCGGAGGCCTATCTGCGCCTGGTGCCCATCTACCATTATCTGAAGAGGGACGCCACCGTGGAAGATGTGAAGAAGAAGATCAACACCCTGCGGACGAACTACAGGAAGGAACTCAAGGTGGTCGAAAGTGCGATGCGGTCGGGCAATCTGCACAGTCCCCGCTGTTGGACCTTCCAGGAGCTGGACTTTCTGCGCAACTCGGAGAAGTTTCTGGCCGTCAATCCCGCCTTTAAGAACGAGCCTTCCTTCGCCTTCAGCGAAGGCAGCAATTGCACCAGCGCCTTCCTAGAAGGCCAGGGAGGAGGAGCTGGAGCACCCCTGCACTATCCTTCCCCGCGGGCAGGTGGACAGACCCCCAACATCTCGGAGATGTTTCATAAGTCTTTCGGTCCCCCGCCGCCACCACCATCGGCCGTTAACCATGTGGATTATGGTAGCAACAAGCGGTCCAGGCAAACGCCCCCGTGCTCGGGATCTGGAGCCGCGTCGGCAGGACCGTCTGGAAGCTCGCACAACACCGACGAACTACTCAACATTGCCTGCGAATATCTGGCGGGCACTTATCCCGAGGAGGAGTCCATTGCGCGCACCTGGACGCACAAGCTTAAAAGATTGCCCCGCGAGCAACGTCTCCTGGCTGAGCGCTTCATTAACGAGATCCTCTTTGAGGCCGAGTCCAACAATCTGCACCGCGGCTCCGTGCAAATCAACAACAGCTTTGAGCCCTACGTGCGTTACGAGGAGCCACCGAATGGTCACGAGGAGCAGGACAAATCGCAGAGTCCCAGTGTTCACACCTCCAGCGAATCGAAGCCAAATGTGGCTGCAGGGCCAGCCGGAGGAGGAGGCGGAGCAGCTGGCAGCACCACAAATGCCGGCATCAGGGAGTTTTAACCTTAATTAGTTACTAAGTGTTATTAAGTTTTTATTGGCCGACGGGGTAAATGGCATATGACATGGCTTAACAAGGAGAATCAACAATAAATGAACCTGTAAATAAGATGCGAGAGTATGATGAGTGGTCTTAGCCCATGCGCTGGTAGTCGACGAGGTTGCGGGTGAACCAGACGTAGGGCGAGGCGCCGGCCAAAAAGAGACAGGCGCCGATCACAGGACGATGCAGGATCCAAGCCACCGCCGCTAAGGTCAGGGCTAGTGAAAATGCGATGAGTATATTGCCAGCCGCCGGGAACTGTGGATCCGGCGTCAAGAACGCGAGCAGCGGCACATTGTTACCTGATTCGGAAACAGAGCGGACAGTGAGCACATTTTTAAAGTAAATCTGAGATTTGAGAAAAAACAACTCACACAACAGCCGCAGAATTTTGGTGTTGCAGGTTACGCCGAAGAAAATGAGCAACCAGCCGACCAGTCGCCAGCACCAGGTGCGCAACACCTGGGCGTGTGCCTCCAGCCGGAACACCTCCTGGACACTGAGTCCGCCGGGGTAGACGAGCAGCACTGACAAGCCGCGCGATGTGATGTAAGGCACAAGTTTGTTGCCCGACAATTGGCCCACGACACTGTACACCTCGCCCTCCATTCCCGCGAAGCTGAAGAGGAGCCGCAGGTCGCCCACCTCCGGATTGAACACATCGTTGGTGTGATAGTAGATGCCCAGGTGCAGCTTCACGCTGCTATCCTCCGGCCGGATGTCGGAGGTGAGCTCCTGGTAGTTTCCAAACTTTTCCTTCACCTCGGCGCCCAGTTCGTGGCGACCGATGTAGACGGCATCCGCAACCTGGACATGGCTTTCGATGGGAAAGTGACTGGGATTCGTGTGTCCGAAACGGTTGTAGAAGTTCCGCGAGTCGACGATTTTGTCCCGCCACTCCCGGGTGTAGTAGTACGTCCGCGAGTCCGAATCCGTCGTGCCCACACTCTCGCCAAAGTTGTGTTCCCTAGTGGGAAGGAGTTGGGAAGTAATATTACATGTTTGATATTTATATATTTCCTAATTATTTTAAAATTTAGAATTGTATCTTTTGAAAAAAGGAAAATATTTGGAGCATACAAAAGTTGTGCTTTTTCTTAATCCGTGCTAGTTTCAACTTACACTGTCTCCTCGACCCATTGGTACATTTGGACGCGGCGCCGCAGCTTCACGGCCAGCAGTTGGATGTTGTAGTCCGGTTCGGTGAGTGGCTCGCCCACGAGGATGGGACCGGATAGGTGAACGATCCGGCCCTCGAGACCCAGCTCCTGTTCCTCCTCCGTGAAGCGGACCGAGTAAATCTCGGCGTGCGCCTCATCCAACGCCATCATGCTGTGGACAGCGCGTCCCTCGTTCCAACAGAGCATCGTGCTCCCGGCCACGAAGAGGATCACACCGAAGAGCGAAATGAGCCAGTGACTCCTTAGAGTTTCGATCAAAGTGGCCATGAGTTAGACTTTCCCCCACCCATTTGGGGAGGACGCAAAGAATAAATTATCAGCAACAGCTGATTCTGTGTGTGGCCGTTCGATGAAGGTAAAGAAAGACCATGTATAAAGTAAAAAAAATTGGTATTATTTATCAAATACTTTCTTAGCCCTGGAAAATGTAAGCGACCAAGACTATAAATAAGTAAGTCATACTTGAACCACAGTTATAATAACTTGAACGTGATCACCTAAACAAGAAATGCCTATTATAAATTATTTTTTATTGATGGGCCGCGCGGAACTGAGGCAAATTAAAATGAAAATTGAAGAGCTTCAGATTGAACTGCAGGCTGAAAAGGATCCAACTCGTATACAAGTAATTAAGCAGAAAATCGAGCAATGGAAGAAAGAGGAGGTGGTAAAACAACGGGAATTGGAGGATATTGTGGAGACTAAAATACAATTTGATCAAGCTTCAGTATGTTTAAATATAATAGATAATTTGTTATAAAGAACGTGTACTTTGAGCAATGGACAGAAGCACTTGTAAAATTTTACTGCAGTACCATCAAAAATGTATTTAATAACATTGTTGCTCAATAAAATGTAAAGATTTGTAATGATTAAAATAAAATTATTTTATTAACCTGCAAATGAAAACTTGGTTTGGGCGGTGTTTGAAATATTGGTATTTAATTACAAGTGGCAAGGGAGTAGAATTGGGAAAGGACTGGGGATTCACCGAACAAAGGCTTATAAAAAATCTAGCTAATTATTCACCATTTAAAAATTAGCAATTGTTTAGCAAATAATGAAATATTTATTTAGTAATAAACTGATACTGATTCCCCAACATAAGCCAGTGCGCAGAGTGGCCAGGTTATAAAAAAAAATAATGAAGTAGTCTCGTTAGTTTATTTATGTCCCGAAGCATAAAAAAAAAATCAGTTGCTCGGCGCCAACAGAAGTCCATTTCACGGTGACAAGATACATTTTTGGTCAGCTTTTTATATTACCAAAGCTCTAACTCGAACCACAGTTATAAAAACTTGAACGTGATCACATACATACAAGAGAAATGGATTTATTTTCTTCAAATTATATATCGACCTCCTTCGTGGAGCAAAGGCAAAATCTAATAAAAATTGAATTAGATTTTTTCGTAGAATGCATACATACATATTGAGCGGAAAATCGCGAAATTGGAGGAAATGAACGAGAAATTACGAAGGGAAATAAAGAAATATTCGAGAATGGAAACTGAAATCATAATAAATAATATGACACATAACACTTTGAGATGATAACTGGACAGAAGTACTTGCCCATTTTTACTGCAGTACCATCAAAAATGTATTTAATAACTTTGTAATTCAACAAATGTAAAGATTTGTAATGACATAAAAAAGTTATTTTATTAACCTGTAAATTCAAACTTGGTTTGGGCGATGATTGAAATTTTGGTGTTTCTTCCTGTGGTTTAGTTAAAAGCAGGGGATTCACCGAACAAAGGCTTATAAAAAAGCTATCTGGTGATTCATCTAAATGATTCATGATCAATTGCTTACCAGATAAGACTTGAAATCTTTATTTTGTAATAAACTGATACTGATAACGTATGAGGTGATTCCCCAAGTTAAGCTCGTGCGCAGAGTGGCCAGGTTATAATAAAAATATTTGAAAATTTAAATTCTTTCACCACCAAAATCAAAAAAATTGTGTAAAGAACTACACTTTTAGAAAATAAATAATTTGATAACATTAATAAAATTGCTATTTTATGAATGGTTGTGTTTTTAATTACTGTACACATTTGTTAAATTTAGTTTTAATAATGGTAAATTAAAAATTTTTTTTTAAAGCCCGTCAGTTTTTGTAAGCCACATATCATAAAAAAATATCACTTGCTTAGCGCCAACAGAAGTCCATTTCACGTGACAAAATATATTTTTGGTCAGTTTTTTTTTATTACTAAACATATACTTACAAACAAATGAATAACAACCAAAGTTAAGGTTTGAAATTTTTTAACTAAAGTTTAAAATTATTTAACAAAATAAGTAAACATAAATTGCTCATCATCGCGCTTCTTAATGAATTAAAAAATACGGATACAAGAAATCAAAATTCTACTACATATTTGGACAAAGAATCACGCAGAAATTTCCTTGAAAAGTCGCTCTTTTCTGTATCATGTGTAGATATATTTATATTTAAATGTAAATGTGGTGTCTTTGTGTCTATGCAAAATACATAACTTGCTGCCAGCAGAGCGCATAAAATTTACAAATTTTAATCTTATTACACTCTATGCATTATATAATATATCTTGAAATATTTAGCTGGCTATCACTGACAAATAACTTTGCAGGTTTTCTTTTTGGTTTAATTGAAGCAATAAGAAACAATTATGGAAGCCTCTCGGCCCAAAATTTGAAAATTGTTTAACTAAATTATATTATAGAACCCATTTTGTCATCGTGGTAGTTTTTATGGTAAGTTGGATAAATACTAATGTTTAAGGTAATCCTTTCGCTAGCCTGAAACTTTTTTAGTTACACGCAGTATTTTAAGATTATACATGTATATGCATATGTACCCATATAACTTTTATAAATATTCATTTGCACTTAAACCGAAGAATCGGTTTTAACGTTGACTAACATGCCACACAATCAAGTAACTCTTATCGCCTCGATTTTCGATCGTTTGATTTGGTTCCAGTTGAATACTGTTCTCCATGTCGTTATCATCTGTAAAGAGTCCATTATTCTTTGTTAGTTTTTAACAGTTTTAAAGTGCTGAACACAAAAGTATTATGAGAAATGGGTTAGTGCTACGAAGTAGAATTACAGGATACAATTTGTTCCGATAATTTACGGAGATTATACAGGGCACAATGCAGTGGGATAGTCATTGGGTGATTTTTTTTTTTAGTTTTAGTTTTTAATAAGCGATTTAGTAAACTGTGCACCATTTTTATAGTCCACAACTCTTTTTGAATATTTCCATGTGTACAAAATAAAAATTAAAGTGTAAAAATTAAGAAAATCAGTATTTTAACAATATGGTCAAGTCATTTAAAATATCATACATAATTTTAAAGAAAAATATAGTGTCAAAAAAACATTTAACCCTTCCAAAACAATAAATTCTGATAACTATGCTAATCATACAGGTAATGTTTTGGGATAAGGGACACGGTACACCAATGAGATCGTCTATATATATGTATATATTTTTTTTTTGTGCGGAAAGACAGTAACATGTGCTTAAACAATAGATTTGCAACCGAAAGACCAAGGGGTAGTTGTATTTACTGATCTTTAGGCTTCAGAACACACTGTGAAGGAGGAATTCTAGTGCCGGTTGGAACAATAAAGAAAAACATGGATAAAATTAAAATGGGACTTGCGTAAGCCTGCTTAGCGGTCTAGTTCAGTTCAGGTCACGGCTGAGACAAATGCTGCAATCCACTTTTGGGATCCCATCCTGCTACAGATTGAAGGTTCTACGGATGGGCCAGAAATCAAACTATTAAATCTCATCAAGGGCAAATTAAAACAAATGAAATTAGGACATTAACAAAATAAGCAAAACTAAGCATTTAACTAAATCAAGAAAATCAAAAGAGCAAGGCAAAGGAAGAAAATCAAAATAAAAACTTAAAAAACGAAAAGAAATTAAAGCTTACGTATCGACTTTCCAAACTATCAAGTGCGCTGCATTATCACTAGCATCGAACTTATCATGTCCTGCAGATGGGATGGAATATGGAATGGTTATACACGGCTCAGAGCTTCGCTGCCCGGTCCGTTTCATCCGGCGGACGCGGAGACCACTTACTTATGCGAAAATCGATGTAGCCCTCGCCGCCGCACATGACCAGCATATCGGGCCGCTTGTTGCTGAAGGTCAGTCCGCCGTTGAGGTTCGGTTGCTGTAGCATGGGCACAGAAACGAAGAACTTAACCGCATCCCGGTGGCCGTGGAAGGAAAGTTGAGCATTGGCCATGCAGCACAGCGGCATCTGACCATGTGGATCGGCTGTCAAGGGGATCATACAACTTAGTACACCCAAACAAAATCAAATTAAAAGCTGTGAACATCACTCACATGTCGACTTTTGCTGCACCTCGGCCAGTGGCACCGAAATGATCACGCCGTTGCTGGTGCCGATCCACAGCCGATTGCAGGACACCATCAGCGCGGTGATGCGGACGAAGCTGAAGCCCAGCTTGCCGGTTCCCAGCATTTTGGAGACGTACGGCTCAATGTCCACGTCCTGCTTGTGTTCGAATGTGTGCGTGTTGTACAGCCGCAGCGTGGAGTCCAACCTACAAGTGAAAAGCAATTAATAACGTTATTTGAAATCCAATGGAGAGTTGGCGGTAACCCACCTAATCGATACCCAGACACCGGCTCCAGTGGCCGCCATCTGGCGCACCTGGCTCTCCTTCCGCGGATGCGCGTCCAGCGAGTGCACAATGTTGAGCGATACGGGGTCAACGATAAAGATCTTGTTGCGGTGCGCCGCCCAAATGCGCTCGCCGGCCACACAGAGGCAACGTATCGAATGGTTGCGGTCACCGAGCGTCACCAGGTGATAGCTATTCAGATCCCATTGGCCGTCTGTCTGGCGGCGGAACACGGCCAGCTGGGCATTGGCGAGCGCCACAACGACCCTCGACTCGACATGCACAATCGCCAGCACAGCGTCCGGCAGGAGAACCCGGTGCAGGCACTCGTGCCACCTTCCCACGCTGCTGTGCACGTACAGCCAGCCGTCCTGCGCGCCAAGCCACATCGTTGGTCCCACCGAACTCATCGCTGGCTCGTCGCGATCCTTGGTTTCCAGTATCGGATTCAGCGACTTGGTGGCAAACAGAAGATTGCTGGTGTTATTGTTGTTGTTCGTCTGGTGGTTGCCTTCCGTGGAGAGTCGCTGTGGAGCTCCCGGCAGTGCCTGGCGTATCTTTATGGCCTCCACATTGCCCAACGGCTCCTCGGCATTCACCGCAGGCAGCTGTTCGTTGGACTTCTCCGTTGCCTCCTTGGCCTCCTCCTCTTCCTGCTGTTGCTTGGCATTGCTATTCTGCTCGTCGTCTGACTTTGGCTTCACCCGCACGAACTCCACCTTACCGAGCAGCTCCGCACCCTCGCCCGGTCGCTGCAGCATCTCGCCGTCCTTGACCACCTCAGACTGTTCGAGCAGCGCATAGTCACTCTCCATCGCTCCTTGCACGGAGGCAATGCAAAGCAGATGCGATGCGCAGATGGGAAAGGCATCGAGCACGGTCGCCGATTGATTGGCATCCACCACGCTGACCGTACTCGCGGCATGCGTGCTAGTGCAGATCCACACGAACGAGCTGAGCTGCGTCTCCGGTTCGAGCGTCTCCAGACTGGCCCTCGCCATTTGTCTGTCCAAGGCCTCCATGCTTTGATCCGCCGTCGGACTGGTGATCTCGGCAATCTTGAGTGTGGATTTCGGGGCGTACGGTGAGCTGGCAGGTATCAGTGATTGGCCGTTCTTCGTGAAGCCTCCGTGGAGATTAACGCCCGCCGCACAGAACACCTTCATGTGCGGCGAGGCCTCCGCCAGGGGATTGCAGTAGACGGGAACAGGCACCCCGCCCGAATGGCGATTGGGATTCGCCTCCTGACTGGCCTTGTTGATCGGCAGACTCCATCCGTAGGCGTGCAGCCGACCATCCTCCTTTTGAACGTGCGCGCGCAGCTGGCGGTACTGCTCCCTCCGCCGCGCACTGATCCTCTCGGAGCTGCCCTCCTCGGCATAGTCCTTCGGCATAATGAGCGCGTTGGCGAGACCAGCGCTGGCCGGATGTACGGGCGGCTGGCCGCTGGTTAGGGCCAGGCGATTGTCGCCACCTCCACCGCTTCCTCGGCTAGGGGATCCGTGGCTGTGGGCAGGGCTTCCTCCGCCGGTGTGACGAAACATGGGCCCCCCTCCGAGACCGTCCGCAACGCGTTCCGTTGGGCGGTTGGAGGGGCTGTTTAGGTTGGGAAAACAGTTTCATTAGCAAAAGATTTCTAAGAGGTTTGCCTTGGAAAACTCACGTAAAAAGATTACTAAAGTACTTCCAAATGCTCTGCTTTGACTTCCTGTCCAAATTATCTACGGTGCGCGAGGCGCGGAGTATTTCTGTAAGACGCACTGCCTCCTGCAGCTCCATCAAGCGCTCCTTGTACTGGTTACGCTCCATCAGCACCATGGCCATCTCCACTCGGGTGAATCGTTTGCGCTGGGCCAGCGGCACATCGTTCTCCTCCTGTTCAGTATCTGAAATGGGGTTGGAATTATATCTGCGGAGCCCCAGCAACACACTTAAGATACTCACTCTGCTGTTTAACCTGTTCTTTGGCCTTCTTCAGCTCATCCTCCAGCTCACTGATGCGCTGCCTCAGTTTTGTCCTCGACTGCTGCATCGCATTCAGTTCCTCGCGAACGATTTCCACCTCTCCTGTGAGCTCATCCACTTTGACAATCAAATCGTCCTTGACAATATTGAGTGCATTTCTGAAAGGGCAAAAGGATTGAGGTATAATTGAATTTAGCTAATTGATTCCCCATTGGGGACATCATTAGACACACTCACTTGGTGGCCAGCAGCTCATTGTTTTCCATGATGAGATTTTCAACCTCCTTGCCCATGCCTGGAAAGTGATTAAAAGGTTCTTTAATAAAGAGTAATTGCAAGGGGATTCATGGACATAACAAGTGTAAAAGCGTTAGGAAAATGCAAGTGAAACTCAAGTGTATGTTTTGTGGATAATCCGAGTATCTGTTAAACTGATAGATGCTACAAATGAAATAATGAATCAAACCGAAATGTTAAATGCTTGCAACCTTCACATACGGCATTCATCGAATTAGGAGATAATAACCAAAACCAAATTAGGAAGTAAACCAAAAACTACAAAACTACTGAGAAAATGGAGAAACTGAAACCAAAGGGATGGAAGAAACCAACCAGAGAATGTCCTAAGTCAACACAAACATAAGGATTTTAATAAACAGGCGATGCCAGGCGATTTAGAGGGAAACTACTTACGATTCTAAAGGGGTAATGAGAAAGCAACTACGGTTACGATAGTTGGGAGCTACTTTATCGATAAGTAATGAGGATGTTCGTAGCGCATAAGACTTACCAAAATAGTTGTCGTTAGCTTCAAAGGATCAATACAATGCAAATATAGTTGTTGTTTGTGGATTGTGTTTAGTAATTGCAAGAGAAATTTTGGTTTTTTGTTGTGGGAGGAAACGAATTGGTTTGGATTTGGGCAAGTAGAATTCGGCATAAAAGAAAGAGAAATTTCATTAGAGGTCATGTTATCAAATTTTATTTGTTTTTTCTAATTTATTAAAAATTGATCTATTTTGCTAATGCTCTTTAGCAAGGTGAAACACGCTTTCGAGCTCATAATTTCCAACAGATATCACATGGGAAGTACACACAAAATACGGAACTAGTGAGGATCCTTAAAACTCTCTCTCTCTGTTTTTCTGAGACTGTTCAGTCGAATCTCGCATGATATTTGATGTATTTACAGGTTATATAGATGAATCCATATATGTAGGAATTATATGGTGTTTGTGGCTGAGTTTCTTGTACTTGTCTTTGCTCTTGCTGCTGTGGCTGATGGTCGTGAGTGGTTGGTTGGTACCTACCTGAGGACGCATACTCTCCGGGATGAACCCAGCTGCCTGAAGGATTCGGTCGCAAGGAGAAGAGTTCCACGAGAGTGTTGCAGTGTTGTGTTTGTCGGTTTTTTAGTGCACGGGAAAGCAAATCAAAAGGAAGAAGAGGATATTGGCATTGAGTATTGAGTTTCTAGATTCTGATACCTAGTTACGTGATTTCCATAAATACTGGACAATTATTAAGACAGAGTTTCGATAAACTGATCTTAATAACATCTCCTATAAAAATCACGTACTTAGATACTTTTGATTAGGAACATTGAGGGTGCAAAAGAGTAGTCCCAAAAGCATTTCCCGGACTTCTCACCTGTCACAATCTCATTCTCTTCGCTCTCCTCGTTGTCCTGGAAGGACAGTTCTTGGTAGAGATTGTTATCCGAGCGCTGCTCCTTTTTGGTGGTCGAACGACCAACTGGGATGGGGGTTTTGGATTGGGTTGTTCGTTTGTTTGTTTTAGTTGAGTTAACACAAAAATCAAAAGAAGAGCGGAAACATTAGTACGGTGAGCGGTTGAGTAGTAACCAGAGGATTGAGATCCTTGAGATTCCTGCACCTACCATTTGAGGGCACATTTGGCACAACGGGACTGCTGTCGGGACTTTGGGGCGAGGTGGCCTGGTGCTGCTGCTGCAGTGCATCAGTGGCAGCGCCGCGTTCCATCGTTCCGCCCAGATTGTCCAACTCGTTCTGCAATGAAGGCGGCCCGGAGTCGTCTGACTGGCTGCCCACACTGCAAATCGTCTCGGTGTCCAGCATCACCGAGTTCTCTAGCGAGGCAAAGCCATAGGAAACGGGTCCCGAGCTGCGAGCCACAGGATTGAGCCTCGCCCGACTCACATCCATGCGTTCGGAGGCGGTGCTCATCTGCGAGTGCGTCGATCCCATTAGCATCTTGGTGCGTTCCATGTAGTCCACATGGTTCTTGAAAAGCTCCGTGTACCGTTCGTGCAGTTTGTTGTACTCCTAACGGGGTTACAATAAAAACAATTGGTTATTAGTCCTAATAAACATCAATCGTTATGAACGCCACCTTCTTGAGGTCCGCTTCTCGCTCTTCCAGACGACTCGCGTGCTCCAGGCTGTTCTTGTGCTTCAGCTCCAGCATCCGCACAATGCTCTCCACCGATTCCAGACGCGTGGCCAGCTCCTTGTTCTCCTGCTCGGCCAGGTCCTCGGCCTCCAGTAGCTGTCGAAGTAAAGTCTTAATTAATTTCAAGCCTCAAAAGTATTTACAATTTATCCACCTTCTGTTCGGACTGTTTGCGGGCGCTCTTTTCCCGCTCGTATTGTGTCACCAGCTGCTCGTTGTCCTCGCGCAGCAGCTCCACCTCCACGTCCTGCTCCTGATTAATGCGATACGAGGCATCTAGGCACTCCAGCACGTTCACCAGCAGCGGCATCAGGTTCTTCACCACATCTTCGTCGTAACGATTGATCATCCGCTCGAACTCCTGATAAATGCTACCCGCCAGTTGTTGGACCTGAAAAAAGAATGTGCATCAGTCGATTTTGCTTTGGTTTTAGAAAGTCGTAGGGACAACAAAGTGCAATTGATTAGTAGGCTAACACACAAAACAGGAAGTGCCCTTAAAAACTTTCTCACTATACAATTTTCTGATTTTATACATTTGCTAAAAAAAAAAAAACATATTTACTAAGATTTTTAGGGTATTTAAAAGTTTAATGTTGGAAATCAGTTATATTTAAGCACTCTTATACCAAACAACAAACATATTAACATAAAGAACAAGTAAATATAGCAAGGGACTCCCCTTTTAATTAAATCGGTAAACATAATTGCGGTTGTGGTCGCAGTTTTTATGAATGGAAAGCTCTTAAAAAAGCGAAAATCCCCCCGTCATGCATGTGTTTATTGAGCAAAGGTGGGAAACAAGATTATTTCCGCTCAATAATAAAACCGAGAAAGGTTAAGGCTGACACCTTTTCGGTGGATAACTGTTAGTAAAATTGTAAAAACAAAACTAATCTAAAGGCGTTTTATATGGTACTTAAGGAATAGTTAACAAATATATATCGTGCATTTACGTATCAGAATGTGAAAAACAACAAAAAGATTATAGGGTAGAAAACAAATAGAACAAAAACGAAAAATTTGGATAACTCACGATGCTGACAACCTGTTCATTCTGAAAGAGAAAGAAAAGAACAAAAACAAGGTGTAAAGGACACATAAAAAACAAAATTTTAACAAATGTAGTAACTGAAAATTATAAATAAAACCCAAATTTTGATTATGTGCATAATGAATAATTGGATGAATGAAGTGTAAATTAAAAATGAAAATAAACAAGGTTTTATTAAACAGTTTTCTTAAGTTAAAGTTCAAAGGAGGCATCTTATTAAAGGTTTTAAAAACATATGATTAAACACATATATTTAATTGCTTTTCACTGAACTTTTTAGTTTTGATAGAGGGTTTCATGGCATTTCCATTGCACGCCAGCTCCCTTCTCTAAAAAAAAAACTAGTCATCAGACCAAGGTTGAGCAATTTATAAGGCCAACTTAAGCTTAAGTATTCAAACATTTTTGGGCAGACTTGTTTCACAAATAGTTTCTGCGGTTGTGGGGACACAAGAAACAAGTTTTCATCGGTGTTGTTAGCAATGCTTCCCGCTTGAAAATTGCCCAGAACTCATTACTCAATTAACAGGTAGCTTATCAGCGGAACATGTGCCCGAAAACCAGAAATCGGGGGAACCTGATGAGCTCATTTGGGAGGGAAGGAAAATAACACTTATATGAGTGTAAGAATGTAGGGAGGCCTCTTTGATTTAATTTGCATAGCCCGATTAAAGCTGGCGAAGCTGATAAAGTGCAAAATCAATCAGGGAATTGGGGTGAAAAATAAAAATAAACTATACAGAAAAGCTGGGGTATTCGGCTATGAAGGGGCTACACTGTTAAAAATATAAGATTTATGGTTTGCAAAACGATAAGCTTTAATGTTGTTTTATTTCAAACCAAATTATTTTGTGAATCTACTTTTTAATGTTTTTTTGAATCTGCGTAAAATTGTATATTGCTCTAAATACTGTGCCTAAAATTTTTTCTCTCTGCAAAGGATTGCGTGAGGTGGTCATAAAATTTGAGGGCCAACTGACTGACTTTATTGATTTCTGGTTCCCGGCTTTTTAACCCCCTTTTGCTGTGCCAAACTCTCTTGTTCCCTTTTTTGTTGCTATTTTTCGCCAGTTTGGATGTCAATGACCACAGGCGTCAGCTGATGCATAATAAACAATTCTTGTATGCGTTTTTACATAATTAGCTTGTATATAAAAAAGAAGATAGAGAGAGAAAAGATGAGCAGAGAAAGCATTTTTCTCCGATTGTAGCATTTCCGCTTGGGACACTTTTATAGCCTCATTATCTTGTGTTTGTGTTGTTCATACGAGTATGTTTGATTGTGGTTGTGAAGGAGCTAAGGCCCCAGATTGAACCTACAAAGAATTCGTTGTCGAATTAAAGGGAGAATAAGAAACGCCCGCATGAATCAGTATATGGTAAAAATTAGTCAATGACTTAATTCTGGAGTGATCTTTTCTAACATTTGGTGTAGTGAAAGTTAGTGACGTTTTTGGCCAAAACTTTAGCAATTTTTAAATATTTTAATTGATAACTGATTCATCTCGAAAGCTTATCTTCAGGAATGATCAATTTAAATACTTTTTGCTTTATTAGAAGTTATTGACACGTTACATATTCTGAGCAAATGAGTGATGTAAAAATCTAATCTTATACTACCCAGTCCGAAGTGATCTGACTATTTTCTATACAATCAGAAAAGACAACTGATGAATAGAAGCTTTTGTGGATTGCAAATTACCTTCTCTGACATGACCATGTTGTTGTCCTCGGTTCCATAAACCGTTTCTGCCCCAGACTGTGGGCCTCCATTGTTGAGCAGGGTATCATCGTTGTCCATGATGATGAAAGGTTCTGTCTAGACCGAAGATCTGTCTTTTTAAAAGGGATTCCCCTTAATGATGATGAAAGGGGAGGGGCGAGGGTGGTGCACTTGACTGCGGCTACGTCACGCGTTTACCGTTATGCAGGCGATGGCTTTTCAACCCCACTACCACAACAAACAACAAAGCAGTGGGAGAGAGAGAGAGGACTCCCACATACACGCACACTTTCGACTTTTTGATGATTTGTTTGTGTCACTTGTATATTTATATTTTCAACAACTCTCTAGTATATTTAAATAAATTGCACTTTTGCAGGTTTGTTTCTGCGTGTCAGTTTTATTTGCGCTTTGCGGTTTTGCCCCTCGTCTCCTCTCTTTCCCTTCCATTCAGAAAATTTATTTGATTAGATTTCATCGTTTTTCGTGTTTATTTTTCGATGCGTTTTCAGCGATTTCGCTCGCAGACTTCACTGCCCACGCCTCCGCGGCCATCCGTTGTGTACGATTTAGCTTTAAAATTCAGAAAATTATGGATTTTCACAGCATTTTTGCAATAAATATTGGAACTTTGCTGCGACGAGTGTGTGGGTGTAAGTGTGACTGTTGTAGGAGGACACAAAAATACTGATACTTGCCGATCGCAAAGTCTGTTCCTTAAATACGGTCTCACACTTTATTTCTAAACTTTTATATGATTATCAAGGTATTAAAATAACTTTCGTTTTGCAAATTTTGCTGATAACATGTAGTAAGAGTAGTTTTTAAATAAGTTTTTAGTAATTCGTCATGTTATTTCCCGATAACATACCTGAAAACTATCGTCATCGGAAAGTAAACTAGTATTTTTTTTAACACATGGTCACATACTTTCAACGTCACGCCGTCCAGTTTTTGTTGTTGTTTTTTGATGAATTTGGACCGAAATTCAGTTTGTTCGACTTTAAAAATGGTTTTTGTGAAAAACTGGGAGGATTTTGAGATTGCCGCAGAGAATATGTATATGGCGAATCCCCAAAACTGCCGATACACAATGAAATACGTGCACTCCAAGGGCCACATATTGTTAAAAATGACGGACAACGTAAAGGTTTGCCTGACATGTCTTTATCAGCACAACACATTTTTTATTCTGAAATTTTTAAACCCACAGTGTGTGCAGTACAAAGCGGAAAATATGCCGGACCTCAAGAAAATCGAAAAGATTACCAGTAATTTGGTGGGACACATGGCCTCCAAGGAATAAAACCCCGTGGAACACGAACAACACTTTGGCCACGGCGACACTTCTGCCCACAAACAACAACAACAAACCACACATGTAAATCAGCCACAATTGTTGTTGTTTTATTAGGGCAGGTGTGTGCGTGTGTGTGTGCCATTAACACCCGCAAATGAATTTAGTTTTTAAGCGCCATAAAACCGCCTAGTTTTAAATTCGAATGTGGCGATCAGAGTAGCTGCTATTAGCCTGCTTTTAAACGACATTTTATAAATGTCGGCTCTGTACACGTTGCGAATTGGCTGCGGGTGGATCGTCGGGAGATCGAAATTCCAACCTGCAGAAGGCGGTGGCGCAAAATAGTTTTTGAAAAGTTAAACATACGATTTTGTATTTATTGTAAAAGTCAATGGGTCGTACACATTTCCATGAAATGATTGAAATAAACCAAGGGAGTACTGCAGAACACAATGAAACGAAGAAACCGATTAGTGTTTTCATTAAAGCGATGATTATATGACTAGTTGTTGGCATTGTAAGACGTTTTAAAATAATTTTAATTGATTTCACTTCTTATGATTATATCAGTTACTTACGCTTGAGTCATAATCATTTAACATGAGATAATTATATGTATGTTTTTAAAAGATTTTTCCGATTAATAGTTTTTTATGTTTTCTCCTTTATTGCTTACTGCATTCAATTATAGTTCCAAACCTTAAATTTCACCATTCCCGATTGACATAATAAGACATAACCAATTAAAGATTCATTACAATTAATTTGTCGGAGCGTATCAAAAGAATTTATTTAAATTTGAAGCAAAAAAACAGAAATCAGTTATCATTTATGGAGGGTTTCCTAAGAATTCTTAATTGCCTAACCATTAAAGCGATTAAACAGCTCGAGCAAACAGTTAACAAGCCACCGAAAGGCGGCAGGAGGAACAGAAGAACCAGCGATGGGAACTGGAAATGGACAGCGGAATGGGATGCTGGCTCACTTAATAATCCGAGAGCAAATATTGGTTATTTGCATGGGAGGCACTCGAGTTTATTTGCCGCAGGAGATTGACAGCAGCCCGCCGCGAAAGATTGATGGAACCGATGGCCACTGGATTGCACAATTGGACATTGGGACACTGAGACATTAGGAGATCGGTAGCCGCAAAGTGTTTGCCCAGAATGCAGAATGCACTCCGGTTGAGGTGGCATTTACCTGTTGCCCGGGAGGCAACTCAGTAGCCACTTTGGATTAAGTCGGAGCGTTTGCTTGACCCACAGAGATCCGCTCGAGCGGACCTTTTGATCAGCCCTCCAGCCCTACAGTTGCAGCTCAAGCGGACTCCTCTGCTGGCCAGAATGGCCATTCGATTGAAGAAACCGTCAGTTTCCGGCAGCTATGACTCCAAGACAAGCTCATTTGGCTTCTGTTTGATGGCGATGGCTGCCAGTGGATCCTCTGCCCATCCCATCGGATGTTTATGTTTGTCCGTTTTTTTTTGTTTTTGTGCTTTTCAACTGGTCTCCGGTTTGCTTTAGTCGATTTTTGTTTGGCTTTGTTTGCGTTGCGCATTGCATTGCAATCACAATCACTTTAGGCGGCTCGGCTTCAACGCTTCAAGATCTCTTCAGATCGGGTTTCTACTTCGGTGGGAAATGGGGGAGTGGGATATACGGGACTTGAATATAAAAAAATTAATTAATTCATTTTTTAATTAGTTCATGGAATTTATTACCAAATATAATTTTACAAAAATATAGAAGATATCATTTCTTAAGATAACTTTGACATCCTCCAGTAAAAACGCAATAAATTTTATAGGCACCCCAACAAAGTGCAGTTATCAAAATCAACAAATCAAAAGTCAGAAGCCATAACAAGCAATCTGTAAGTCTTCCATATACTCCCTGCGTACATGGCTATATATAAAAACTTATATGGCCGATTATAAGGGGGCTACTGGTGTTGGAAAATGGGGGTCGTAAAAAAGCATAGCCGCAGGAACGGTGGCAATAATTTTGATCTTTACAAGACGATAAAGCTCATGGTTTAATTAGGCCCCAGCGATTCCTGGCCGCCCACCCTTCTCGAACCGTCGCGATAAACTTCGACAAATAACATAAATACCTTTTATTGTGGGTGGCTTGGATGTGGGCCGGGTGCGGGTCTGATTGGGGGTTCGGTGTCTCCAGTCGTAAGGCCTTCTCAAATAGACCTACTAGTATTACGCGGACCAGGGCGGTACGTGCTTTTTACGACACCCACTGTGGCGTCAATTATAAAGATATTTAAGTACAGTTAGCATGCAATTAGATTGCGCACTGTTGCCTCTATCGCCATGGTCAGACCGCCATTAAAATCCCTCTGATTTAATTTATATAGTTCTGTAAGGTATCGGACCGGCGGGCCATATAACTAAGTCCGCCTGATTGCCATAACTAGTTGGTCATATGACAATTAGTTGTAAATTAAGACCACCGATTTCTTGCACAACCAAAGCCCAGCGCATGTTGAGGATTTTCTATAAAAATACAAAAACACGGTAAGCTATGCACCTATCATAAATACTATATTTAAAATTTTGAAGGGTATTGATTTTCGATTTGCAGTTTGATAAGTTAACATCCTCTCTAACCCCTAGAGATTTAAAAAGAAGTCAAAAGTTATCTAAGTCAGTTGTATAATATTCATTAGACCTCGATTTTTTATAATATTTAATCTGTTTATTATTTAAATATCCTAAATAATTTTTAAAATCTTCTAAGATTTAATATATTGAATAATTCTTATTGTTTTTTAATCGTTTAAGCTCGCTAAATTCCCGTTGATATTAGTCACAGATGTCCGCCGCCTTATGTTTTAACTCGGTCAATAGCTTGGGTCAATATAAAACTCATTAAAGGCAGGCATCATTGTCTCAGACCACCTGTAATATACCAAATACTATCCCCCCCCCAACTTTTTCGCCCGAGGCACAACAAAGCGAAATTGAAATGCAAACCGACTAAAAGCCTCGGGGGGAGCTACTTGCCGCCCCTATTTTCGCCGCCCCCTGGATCGCTCTATTGACTCAAAACGGTAGCCGCTCAACAGTGGCTAATGGTCATAATTAAACGTGGCTTATTTGCATAAATCAAGTGGTGAGTTATGTTCACCTGGGCGGCGATGAGGTGAGTGGCGATTGAGGTGTTGCAGGTGAAGGGAAAACACTTTGAGCAACTCCAAAAGAAGCCGCTTCCTCTTGGCCATTTCCCCTTTTTCACAGCTATTTAGTCGACTCCATTTTGTTTTGTATACCTTTTTAAGAGGTATCTTGCATTGTACAGGTCTTTTGAAAAATAAGACTGCAGAATAGAATGTCTTTACCTTTCAGAGTTTTTATGATAAAATAAATATAGAGCTTTCTGGCGGGCTTTTTTTGATAATGGCCAAAAATCAGAACTTGAAAGCCCATAACTTTTCTTAATGATGTCCAGGGCCGGAGAAACAGTTTTGAGTGGGGTGATGACCTCACAAATTTTCAATTTCAAAACAACAACACCAATCAATCAAAATGCAACAGGTAAAAAAAACTATTTTAAATGTAAAATGTTAATTAAAATCCATTTAATATTAATGTAATGTTAATTTAATGTTAAAATAATGTTAATTTAATATAATGTAAATGTAATGTTAACTAAATGTTAATTAAATTAATATGGCCACGTCAGCGACAATGATAATTAATTATTTTTTTCGTTTTCTCGCACCTATAATTCCCAAGTGGTTCTGGCTGATTCGTAGTGGGATACCCCTTGATTTTGGCCAATTTCTCAGTTCTCCGGGATGACCGGCAGTTTCTCTAAGAAACTTTTTCCGGTCTCTGGAAGTGTGTGTGTGTGCGTGTGTGTTAGTGACGTGGTTCCAGAGTGGGAGAGAGTATCTGGCCAACTCCTCCTACTGGAGTCCACTCCCGGATGCAGTGCATCATGGGTCGACTCCTCCTACTGGAGTCCACTCCCGGATGCAGTGCACCATGGGTCGACTCCTCCTACTGGAATCCACTCCCGGATGCAGTGCATCTTGGGTCGACTCCACCTACTGGAGTCCACTCCCGGATGCAGTGCACCATGGGTCGACTCCTCCTAGGATGCACTGCATCATGACCTAACTTGGCATGAACTTAAAGGTGCCCAATCCCTTCCTGCATGTAGTGGACTCCAGGATGCAGGGCATCCAAACCTGAAAAGGTGAGTTGCAGTTTTGTTTAATTATGTGATGACGTGGCTTTTGTAAAAAAAATGCAGTTAATTAATTCAATTTTTTTATATTTTTTTTTTCAGGTTTTTGGTTGTGTATTTGGCTGATTGCAGAAAATAATTGGTGACACCATCCAACTTGTAACTTGAAGTTCGACATCAGGATGCACTGCACCAAAGTTATTACGCAGTGAGTACATCCTTTAGACAATAAATAATTAAGTTATATATTTTAAAAAATCATAAATATTTTGACAAAGAAACTAAATGAAACAGATAAAGATCTGAAAGTTTTCAAGAACATGAAAGAAATTTGAAAGGTAAATTTTATCAAATATTGAACTTGAAGTACATGAAAATCAAACACAATTAATAATTGTAAACAAGTAGCGACATATAATATAAATATATGTAGTATATATATAGTAATAGTTGTAAGAATGCGGTTACCGGAAATATATAGTATGCTGACACCACATAAATGGACTGGACAACAGGCTGCAGGATCAATTATGAATGGCGTGATCTTCTATTGAACTCCACTCCAGGATGCAGTGCATCACCTCATTGGGGTATGTATTTTTTAAACAACCGATTTGTATAAAATAATTTAACTAATATTTTGGAATGCTTCTTTTCATTACAGTGATGACTATTCCGTTCTGCTTGGAGTGAACTTCAAGATGCAGTGAATAAAAAACCCAAAGAGGTAAATACCTTTTTTTACTAACAAAATAATTCTAACTATTATTATTTGTAACAAATTATTTATTATTATTTTTTTTTTCTTATTTAATTTCAGGGTAAAGTGTTAAGTGTTAATGTTGCGAATAAAGTGGTTGCGGTGATTATCTTACTTCAAGAAGACGAAAGATTGCAGTGCAGATCAAGGAGCTAACTGAGTAAGTACCAATCTGAAAAGATTTATTTATGATAATCTCATAATTATTTAAGTAGTTTTTACATTAAGTTGGAAAATGCTTAACTTGGGAAGTATTTGGGAGAGTTACTATCTATCTATTTAAATAGAAACTGATTTAAGTGGGCCGTGGTAAAGGCGGGATTTCCCTTCGTTTTTCTTCGATATACTCTATATGCAGGGCCGGAGAAACAGTTTTGAATCATACATTCAACTGATAATAATGGATGTAAATAAATTTTTTTCTACAAGTCAAGCATTTTGGGGTGTTGAATTCCACACCCGCTAAGATTTGGCGTGTGGAGTGCTCAACACCCGGTATAC